AAATATCTACAAACGTATGATTGACTCGTATCTGTAACATGATTCGATTATCATCAAAATCCATATTTATAATCAATTTATCAGAGCCAAATGTCAATATCAATTAATCCATTAGGTTTAATTCAATTTATGTTAGGTGTGTGTACTTATGATAGCAGTTTCTCATATTCGTTGATAATTTTGATTTTTATGGGGGAATCAAACCCCTGATGGAGAAACATTACTTGTAATTCCTAGAGTGTCTATTGAATTTTCATATAATTATTTTACTTTGATTGTTGAGTCCTTGGAAATAGGAAATATGGAAAGATAAGTAATTAATTAATTTATCGATAATGTGTTAAGTTGATCAATTATATAATGATAACAAAAATAATAATTATCATGAAAATAGCAATCAGCATGCGGTAATTTTTCAAAAAATTTCAATTATCAGAATTTAATTAATTCCAGATTAATTGGAAATATTATTAATATGTGATATTTGTCCAAACGTTTCGACAGAAATTTTTGATATTGATAGTCAACGATCCAATATCAACATTTTAGCATTTTTACGATATTCACAACCTGTGGAGTAAAAATCCTAAAAACCATAAAAATGCGATTTAATGTAATTTATGTTGAATGTGTGTACCTCTGATCGCAGTTTCTCATATATTCATTGATAATTTTGATTTTTATACACGGAGAGAAAAATTCAATAAAAATGACCAGAAAAAAAACGTAAAAATTACGTTTCGAAACGTAATCCGCGAGCGAAGTAAAATTCAATAAAAAGTGTGAGTCGGAACTGAAATTGTACGAATCGCCACGTAAATTCTACAATTTGTTCCGTAAAAATTAATCACCCGTGTCTTGTTATCCTCACCGCTGTGATTTTCCGTAATTTTTCCCCAGCGATTGAGAAATTTTACGGAACGGAACGTAGAAATAACTCACCAGCTTCATAAAAACTGTTGAACGTTCAAGAATTTTTTATTTTGGAGGCGTAATAAGTCGGGAAGTTTCTGTAAGATTTTACTTCTTCGGGAAAAATTAAGTGACAATTTCGTACTTTGTTCGGTGATGAACCTGAGAATTCACTGAACGTTTCAGATTTCTTCTCTTCCATTCCTAAAAAAACTGCCGGAAAACAATTCCCCATTGCGGATTACGTGAATGTTTCCGTAATTTTTACTGAATATTTCTCTCCGTGTAGGGGAATTAAATCCCAGATGGGAGAACAGTATTCGTGATTCTCAAAATTTTTACCAAACTTGCATATAATCATGGCCTTCATGTGATTGTCCATTCCTCGAAGATAGGAAACATGACAATAAAAATAATTAGTTAATTCATCGATAATTTTTTGATTTGATCAATTATATAATAATAACAAAAATAATAATAATAATGAGAATAACAATCATCATGCGTTAATTTTTCCAAAATTGTCAATGATCTTAATTCAATTATTTCTCGATTAATTTGAAATCTCATATGATATTTGTCCAATCATTTCGACCGAAACTGTTGATATCGATCTGCGAATTTGATATCAAAGTCGACGATCCAATATCACATTTTGTTATTTTTCCGACACCACAACTTGTTGAGAAAAAATGGTGGAAACCATAAAAATGCGAATTAATGGTAAATAATGTTGACAGTTTACATGGGTTTTACTATTTACATTACCAACTTACAGCAATAGATAACTTGGAGAGGTGCCTCGATAGGCACAGTCATGATGGTATCGTAAATCATTTACGATTTGTAATTGCAATGAGAGTAGCTATCTTGAATTCCATTTGATGCAATCATTTTTCGTCATATTCTCGTACGTACTATTTGCGTGACATGCGTGAAGATATGAAGGGAAGAATCCGTTGAATATTTCTATAGTTGGAAACTTGTATGAGGAATTTTATAACAAAAAACATGGAAATTTTTATGCGACTCTAAATTTTTGTTTTATTGATTCATGGATTTAATCAGCTCCATCCCACAATCATCATTTGGCCCAACTTGTTGAAGTTTCCCGAATCATTAATATCAATAGCAAAGTGAAACGATAAATTAAGTAGAAATTAGTCATCTTACATACAGAAAAACCTAAACGTAAATTACGTGTCAGAAGAGATATTTTACGCTTGAAGTTAGAGTGTAAATTACGCTCAAAATATTTATGCTTTCGTGTTTGTAAATTGCGCAATTACATTGGCGTAAATTACGATTATATTACCGTGATATACGATTTGATATTCGTAAATTACGATGATTTTTTCCGTATTTTACGTTTACATATCCGTAATTAACGAGTACCGAGAAAAAATAGCTGTTTTCGTCACAATGTCGAAATAGTATATTTCGATACGAGTGAGACGGAATTTGCTGGAATGTTAAGTTGACGGCTCAAGGCAAAGGGCCGAGGCCAAGGGCTGCCAATCACACGAGTTGAAATGTGAGTACAGACCTCGCCTTCGACTCGGCCTGTAAACTTCACATTCGTCGAAAATGAAATTTATGTCCTTGTACTCTAATCTATTTCCCCTTCAGCTCAGCTGGTGGCGCCTCTGCTTGGCTCCTCTCATGCATCGCTCGGCTGCGCGCGTCCTACGACTGTCCCTAAAAACATTACCCTACTCGTATCAACACACTCTTTTTCACACTCGGAACGTAATATACGAGTTCATAATTGATAGAGATAGTTATTCGACCGTTTTGAAAAGATAATTAAGATAATATCGGCCTTGCGGTCCAGGATAAATAAATTCAATGAAATTGAACAATAAACTTGCCGACGTTTCGACCCATATGCAGGTCCTCCTCAGGGCACGTTTATTAACTGCAATGACCAATAAAGGTACTTACAAAGAGGAAAGTTATAAAAATCTGTTATCAGCATGAAAAATATTATTTTAACGCACTTCTTTTTTTAACCTGGTATGTTTTTCATTACCTTAATCATATGGTTCATAATATCCATTGGGAAACCCCACCGCGCGTCGTTTTTCCTTAATTACAATTGACTGGATAACCGGAAAAAGTAAAAAAAATTTGACTTTGTGAATTGAAGTGTCTACAGGATTATAGTAGTTTTTAGAACAACATATTTCCGGAAATTCTCCAAGAAAACAAATTATTTCGAACAGATAAATTATTTTTTCCCATGGTAAATGAAATTGCTCATCACGCGACGTTGCCGGAAACTCACTAAACGCCCCGGTAAGAATAGAGTGAATTTAGCAACGCTAGAGCCTAAATAAACGGCGGGGAATCCCCGCGAAGGGGATCAGTGTCGCCGGGTCGCGTTTGATGACCAGACTAGAGTTAACACTTCGTTGGTCGCGCTATAATTCGCTAATATTCATTGGGAATTACAATTGACTGGATAACCGGAAAAAGTAAAAAAAAATTGACTTTGTCAATTGAAGGATCTAAAAAATTATAGTAATGTTTAGAATAACATTTTTCCGGAAATTCCCAAAGAAAACAAATTATTTCGAACAGATAAATTATTTTTTTCCATGGTAAATGAAATTGCTCATCACGCGACGTTGCCGGAAACTCACTAAACGCCCGGGCAGTGTAGAGTGAATTTAGCAACGCCAGAGCCTAAATACACAGCGGGGAATCCCCGCGGAGGTGACCAGTGTCGCCGGGTCGTCGGGTGCGTTTGATGACCAAACTAGGGTTAACACTCCGTTGATCGCGCTAAGAGCGCCGTGTCGTACTTTTTTCGATTTTTTAAATGACACTGCAGTAAAGCCTCAAAAAAATTTGAAAAAATTTGACATCGTATTTTGAAGTGTTTAGAAGCCATATCAATGAAAATATCCGCCAAAAATATCAGAAGCAGTTAAATTTTCATTCCGAAACTCCGGGCCGTAGACCGTGTATAAGACGAATTCTCGGAAAAACATGGCAACTTTGAGCTTGAATATATAATTAAGTGCAACACTGAACATAGAAAATCTCACGGGACTTCTTCAAGTATACAATCTAGATCACTCTTGATTTTTTTCAGATTTTTCCTAAATCTCTCAAATTTATCATTATGTCGATTTATGCTAGTGCCGCGCGACCAACGGAGTGTTAATGTGGTTCTTTTCAGAAGCGTAAATTGTTATTTCAATGTTCTTATATAAAAAGGAAATCTCACACTTTTATTCCGAATCTTCTGAAAGCGAAATCGCATGCATGATGATGATGATACTGATTTGGTTAATGATGTTGATGATACTGATGATGTTGGTAATGTTGATGTAGATCTACGGAGAGGTGTTTTCAATCACGGACAATTATATGTAGCTTTTTCGAAAATTCGATCATGAGATCCATTGAAAGTTTTCACAAGACAACAACGAAAAAAACATAAAAATCAAAAATTATGTCTACAAAGAGTTATATCTTTGAGTAAATGCTATATATATTTATCTGTCTGTATGAAAGCAACCGACTTGATCGTACTGAGCATCCGAGATATTCATGGTTTTCCATCGATAACGCCTGTATAAATTAACATTGAATTATTTTCTGATCTTCGATACCAACATCATTTCCAACAGAACATGTGTTGATCCACAATTGAAGTTTTCATGGATTTCGACGTATCTTCGACAGATTCTCGATGGAAATTTCCATCCCTTTTCAATAAAACAAAATTTCAAAAGAAGTTTTCATCATTTCCCACAAATTTCTCCTTAATAATACTATAGAAATTTGTACAGATGAAATGACATATTGATTCAAATCAACTTACAATAATGTGATGAATCATATAAAGTCAATCATAGTGATAGGCGCGCGGAGCGCGCCTTCGATCTCGTCTTCAGAAAAATTATCAGTCACACCAAGCACATATACAATATAATGGGTTATGAAAAAGAGTGGCTTTACCACTACGTACATCTGAACACAGCTATTCTCTGATTCATGTATCCAAACAATGAATATCAATTATGGGAAGCAAGAAGGCAAAACAAATAATAACAGTTATTATACTGGTGCTTTATTTTCTACTCTATCATACAAATATGTTCCGTAAAAAATCAATGACATCCGAGTATCTTAACTACCACTTCATGAAGTTCATCAACTTGCTGTAGTCTGGATATGCAATTCCGCAATCCACTCTCAGTACAACGAAAATGCTTTTGTACAAGTGATCAATGACTCCTTGGAAAGGGATTGATTCCCTTCATCAGAAATATTCGCATGTTGACACGACCTCAACCGATGCTATTTTTTATTCAAAAAATATTACAGTCAAATCGGCCGAATCCTTTGGGTCGTGCCAAATGGGGTATACATCAGGTAGCCCTATGCTAGTCCCATTCGTTAAAGGATTTCTCAGCCTCCGGCTCCTTTGGTAGTGCCACAATTCCAACGGTATTTCCAGTCTCATCTTCGTGAAGAGTAACTCCCATTTCACGAAGAATATCGTTATCAATGAACTTGATTTTCTCACTATTGGCAATTATTTGTTGATTCTTCGACATACCCTCGCACGCATTCCTGATGGCGAATATGCACCATTGGAGAATCACTTCATTTTTTATTGCATAACAGCAAAAATGTAAGGAAAATTCGATTTAATCGCAATAATAAATGAAAATGTTTATGCGAATATTTTTCAAAAGGATACGTGGATTCCTTCCATCGATGTTACAACAGTCCAGTATGACAGAGATTCCTTCGGTGTCTCGTAGCTTAAAAGATTTAATGGGTAATTATATAAATTACAAAACCTACAGATACAAAAATTTCAAATCAACAATGATAAATGTAGCCCAGATAAGAACCCAGATAAACCAAAACTAGAACCTAGAACATGTACATACGTAGCAATGCAAATAGTTTGTAAATAACCCATTGTAGGTTAATACATAATCTTTTTTACAAAGAAAAAAAACTGCAGATGGCTGTATCTGTGATTCAATCGTAATTTCGGGTGTAGGAAAGGTTCTCCGGTGGCAAAAATCTCCGAAATTTGGGATAGTCGAGATGTAGTCAAGTGGATATACAGTCATTCTGGCGAAAGAGTGGGCAGAATGGGGGTAACTCAGTCTACACTGCAATAACTAACGGTTGAATTCCAGATGTGTTGGTAGACATTTTTCTAACACTGTGGAGTTAATTTTTCAGGCATTTTTCAGACATTTTTCAGATATTCAGAAATGTCCGAATCGATCAAAGATGTCATATTTACAGATACCTCTGTTTGAAAACAAGGTGCATCAAATCATTTCCGATGAATGCGGGGGAGGAAGTGGTACCCATACGCATGCAGCCAGAATTTTCAAATCAATTTTAAAAAATAGAGGAAGTGGAATAACGTCTTTGTAAGGGGACGCCTTTTCAAAATTTTTAAGATAAAACAAAAATTTTGGGGAACGAAGTAAAGGCAACCAATCAATTGGTGAGAAGGAACATTCGTTCGCCAGAAGGATTATACATCCACTTGACTATACCAAATTTCGGAAGATGTTCGTATAAGCCGTAAGATTTTCTCGAATTTGATTAAAATATCGGAGAATTTTCTGAAATTTTGTAGACAACCGGAGAATTTCCTCAAATTTTTCTAGAAAAACGGAGAATTTTCCGAATTTTGAGGGAAACTGGAGAATTTTCTCGAATTGTGTAGAAAACCGGAAAATTTTCTAGAAAAATATACAATTCCCATAGATGGCACTGCGGCATAAAAACTTTTTCCCAAAGTGAGTCTGCACAATAAAAATAGTAGACGTATCCACGTCAGCGTCCCTAACGAACATCAATGCCTCATTCTGCATGCCTGGGGTATGAAACATTTAGTGAAAATAAACGAAAAAAGTCCTTAAACTAGGTTCGTTAAGGTTAGTAGATATTTCAGCCCCCTGACCTAATTTAAAATGTGTTCTATCAACTGAAATCGGCCAGGAGCGTCAAAAAATTATCACTGGGGGGCACCGCCTTCCGACTATCTGGTGTCGACAAAGTAGGGAACGATCTAGTTTGCGGATATATTTTGTCCATTCTACAAACGACTGAAGAAACGAAAGTTCTCTAGTTCTATGTTGTCGCTCAATTTTTCCATAGATCTTATTTACCATCAATTCAAAGTCTATTAGAGTAAAATCCCTGGACTAAAATGGCTGGGTCGAGGCTTTCTGTGTTTTTCGTCATTTTCTCATTTTTGGCGCATAAAAAACGATGTCGTGAACAAAGAAATTCTCACTTCATCGCGAAGGGTTTATTTTCAAGACAGATTTTTAAAGCCACATCTGTGTGTATGTGTGTGTGTTTGTGTGTACGTATGTGGTCAAAATTTTGTCCAACGATGTCGCCCGAGCGAATGAAAAGATTCAAATTTTTTTACAATCGATGAGTCACCATCGAACTTGGAATTAATTAGTTTATGAAAACTATCGCCTCAGCAATTCTTTAGTTATTCGTGTAAACTTGTGAAAAAATGTTAGAAAAAGATGATTTTCTGGAAATTCAACGAGTTTACCGAGAAAAATCAAGGGGTTGGAATTTTTCTTGGCAGTCGATGTGTCTTTATGTATCTTCATTTTGATTCGATATTGAGCAAAATCGTCCCAGCAGTTTTGGATTATTTGGATTTCATCTTGTGCTGACAAACGTTGAAGAAATAAAGTTGTCTCTTGAAAAACCATGTCGTCTCTTCTCGTAAAAACAGAACAACATAACAACGCGACGAGACTGAGACGACACCGAGACGAGACATACATTTTTGATAGCAAAATGAGACCGAGACCAACATGTTACAAAAGGAAACGACATTGAAATTTTCAATTTTTTCCGAGACCGAACCGAGACTTCTCAAAATCTCATATAAGACCTACCGTATTTTGATTAGCTCGATGTTTATGTACAAGATTGCCAATCAAACGAATCAACCCTGCTTTGAAGCCAAATGCAGGATGATTTCGAATATCCTCTCTGCTATCCGAAGCTGTGTCTTCATCCCTCGAGGAATTGGGTACGATATCGGTCAATGTTTGGACTGGTGTGAAGTAATTATTCTCCTCCTTCCCGGCCATGTGCATCGCCCGCAGGAGAACTAAAATAACAAGGCAATAGGATGTCATACCGCACACGAAAAAATTAAAAAATAGAAAAACGTAGTGCATCCTCTGGAAAGTTCTATTGAACTTCTATTGATAATTCTATTAGCTTTCCACCAAATCTGTTGAACAATTTAGCAGCTATTCTACGCGCTCTTTTCAATAGAAATCGCTCAATAGAGAATCTCTTACAGAAAAATCAATAGAATTTCGTTATTCTATATAACTTATTCCAATGAGATATTTTCCATGAAAACTCGACGTAAGTTTTACAGTTGTTTCGGTTGATTGTTTTAAAGCGAGGAGGAAAAAAATAGAATGAAAAAAAAACTGAAAATTTATGTTGAGCAACTTTTATAAAAACAATCTCAACAGAATAAATTGTATAGAACGATAAAATTTTATTGATTTTTTCTGTGGAATATTGTCTGTTGAAAAAAAAACTAGTAGAACTTTCAAAAGAAATACAATAGAAATTTCTAGTGAATGTTCTAGGTATTTCTCCGAAGTTGTTTTAAAAGTGATATTCTTGAAAATGGTCTACACTGAGAAAAAAAATATTTTCTCAAAAAACTTGTTTGAAAAAAAAATTGAAAGCCAAAAATTACAAAAACCAAATTTGGTGCTGACTACTTTCAAATGCCATTTCTAGTATTAGTTCTTCGTCATTCGATACTCCTATACGTATTTTCCTTCCGAAAATGTTCGTTTCATATAAAAGAAGAGACAGTTTAGGTTTTCGTTTCGGCTATTCAATAATCACAGATACGAAATGGATTCTTAAATTATTACATTATTTTACATAATAATAATCCGATAAAATTTTTAGTCTCTAATTCACAATTTCCGTCATTTATTCTGTTCATTCTATTAAAAAACGAGGAAAGAAATCCGATTGATAGGTATTTTTGCATTATTCGAATATATCGATTTTAAAACTTTCCGGAGACATTGTAAAGTTATTTTTTTCAAGTTCTTCCCGACTACGTTTTTTGTGTTTTTTCATTTCTTCTCGTTCAAATAGATCATAGAATTCCAAAACATTCATATTCCGCCCATATCCGAAGAAAAAACCGCGATTCCAAGAAAAACAAATTTTTTCCATTTTCTAGCCGATCGTACAATTCATCATAAAAAACCCACTTTTGATTGATCTTTAACATAATTCCTGTTCATTGAATATTATAAATTAAATTAATCTATTTGTAAAGACGGAAATGGAAAGAAAATAAAATAAAATAGTATAAATTAATCTAGGGACGGGCGCGAAGCTTTTGATTTTTTCGGTCCAAAAAAGACTTGTTTAATAACTTATTTGCTTTTCTCTCAGTGTACAATCCATAATTCAAACATCTCTCTATATTATGAAGATCCAAATTGACTTCTGGTGATAAAAATTTGGTAATCAAAATTAAGACTCCACAATTAAGGGTCACAAGGGTCAGAATCTGAGTCACGAGAGTCAGATTAAGTGTCACAAGGATCAGAATAAGGATTATGGGGGTCATATGTGGGTCATACGAGGGTTGGCGAGTGGAGCGAGCAGGGGCCGTAACCCTAGTAAATAAAATAACTCACAAACAGCATTTATGAGGAGACTGTTGTCTCTCTGTAAAATATGGCACTCTCTCCTGTCACTGGACGACAAAACCCCCAAAATATCGAGGAGAATGGTGACTTCAGCAGGCTCCATATCATTCAAATACGAATCCACAGTTTTCAGTATCAAGTCACTCCTCTTCTTGAATCTATTCATCAAATAAATAATCGTATTCTCTGGGAGACTTTCACCCTCATTGTTCTGTTTATAGACAACATCCTTCAGATTCTGATAAATGATTTCTGTTAGATATAACTTGGCTTCCATCGACAAATATTCGTAAACTGTGTCCAGCAAGTCTGGTGTCTGTCGAAGGAACAACATGATTGTGTCATTCGCAGTGCTGACTTTCAAGGTATCCGCTCTGATCAGCCCTTCGAGGGTTGATAAGGGCTCGAAGGGTGGACTGCTCTCTGTCATGTTGAATAGTATGTTGTGAATCAGTGCACAGGTGAGGAGGAGGACATTTGTGTCATTCCAGTGGAGAAGTTGCCTGTGGATGTTCAGTAACAGAAATTAATTTTTTTTAATCATTGTGCGTTTGTCTGGGGCAGACATCGATACCATCATCAATTTTCAATTAAATTAAATATTGCATTAGTTGACTGGTTAATATTACCCAACAAATTTTTAATCATTACATCAATCATTAACTAAATATACAAATTCTCAATCATTTATCAATCAATAAATGAGGTCGGAATACAATTTTTTAATTATTTAATTTGTTAAATTAAGAAGGGAATTTTTCTGAGAAATTCTAGACGATTTCTCGTTTCTATTATTTTATACAATTTGTTCTTTTCGCTAATTTTATACAAATTATACAACTTTGCCAGACGTTTTTGACTAAATATTCCATAGACGTTGATTTTTTTATATAATTTATTGTCTTGTGATTTCTTTTATAAGAAATCTCGGGAATATTTTTTTCATGTTTTTTGTTTGCTAATGGAAGCATTGTAATCGTTCAAATTTAAGTTTTATTGTAGTATTTTATTATAGCATATTCAATATAAGAACAATTTCCTACTTGTTTTATTTTAATTTTTTTTATATTTTTATTGATTTCTACAATTGGCCTCTACTGGATCTCCATAAAGAAATGAGTGAGAATATCAAATAAAATACAATCCTCTGCCAGAGGTAGTACACACATTGCACAAAAAACTAAGGCCAGTTCTGACGATTTTAATCTGTTCCTCTCCACTCTCAGTCATATCAATGTCCAACTAATCTAATATAGTCTAAATAGTCTAATACCATAAAAAAAAAACAGAAAACCAATGACCAAGAATCGCTACAAATACGTGTAGGGGAGGGTAGAGTAAAATGGAAACTTTAGACTTTTTTAAAATTATTCATAACTCAGAAACAAATGTATCAATGAAGCTCAGTTTAGGCTCATCACAAAGGGAAAGAGGTGTTCTTTGCATTTTAAAAAAGTGATGAAATTTCATCAACATTTCAACCCGTCACTAATATTTTTAAAAAGTGAAAAATGTCCATTTTACCCCAACCTCCCCTATGTATGTTATTCTGAATTATTTAATTCTGTAATTGGCCTTCCTCTATTGAATCTCCATAAAGAAATGAGTGAGAATATCAAATAAATTCCAAGATAATTACTGGATGTCAAGTCTAACATTCGTGAATTTGAATTACCCCTAAAATATCACTACCGAAACATGATTTAAAATTTGGAATTACCCAATGATGATCCTCAAATTCTGATGTGATAAAAAAGCTTTGTATCCTCTGTCAGTGGTAGTGGAAACATTGCACAAAAAACGAAGGCCAGTTTTGACGATTTTAATCTGTTCCTCTCCACTCTCAGTCATATCATTTTCCAACTAATCTAATATAGTCTAAATAGTCTAATACCGTAAAAAAAAACTTAGAAAACCAATGACCAAGAATCGCTACAAAATACGTGTAGGGGAGGGTAGAGTAAAATGGAAACTTTAGACTTTTTTAAAATTATTCATAACTCAGAAACAAATGCATCAATGGAGCTCAGTTTAGGCTCATCACAAAGGGAAAGAGGTGTTCTTTGCATTGAAAAAAAGTGATTAAATTTCATCAACATTTCAACCCGTCACTAATATTTTTAAAAAGTGAAAAATGTCCATTTTACCCCAACCTCCCCTATATATGTTATTCTGAATTATTTAATTCTGTAATTGGCCTTCCTCTATTGAATCTCCATAAAGAAATGAGTGAGAATATCAAATAAATTCCAAGATAATTACTGGATGTCAAATCTAACATTCGTGAATTTGAATTACCCCTAAAATATCACTACCGAAACATGATTTAAAATTTGGAATTACCCAATGATGATCCTCAAATTCTGATGTGATAAAAAAGCTTTGTATCCTCTGTCAGTGGTAGTGGAAACATTGCACAAAAAACGAAGGCCAGTTCTGACGATTTTAATCTGTTCCTCTCCATTCTCAGTCGTGTGATCGTCCAAGTAATCGATCACCCACTCGGCAATGCCATTGTAGGGGAATGCATTGGACAAACTCTCTTCATCCACTGGTGAACACATTGACAATTCTCTGTAGAGTTCATGGCAGTGATTCGCCAGGTACTTTGTACTGTTGTTTTGAATTTGTTCTGGTGCTTCATGTTTGAAATGTACACAAGTATTTGCTAGACACTTTAGGATCGAAAACAAAACGTTTGGGGGCAAATTTGCCTCTGGTTTTGTTAATATCTCCGCCAACTTGGCGATTATTCTCCTGAAAATTGATGAAATTATTTTTATTGCGAATCAATTGAAGTAGTCACTTACTTTTCACTGGTTTTTGTGTCTAAATTCTTGACAAATTCGTCCCATTTTTCATCGCTTGACAGTCGGCATAACCTATCGAAATTATCCATAATTGAACGGATTAAAAATACTGTGAATTGCTGGATAGAGATCAATTTGAAATGTTTTTATTCTTGGAATTATAGTTTTCTGGTAGTGTTTATGTTGGACTGTGCAGGAGAAATTTCTGCGACGATTGTGCCTGGGACTTAGGTCACGTGTCCAACTGATTGTTTATATCCACTTTATCGACTGAAGAGGTTCAAGTAGTTGCAGCACTATTGGGGCGCTAGTGAAGCATTTTTTGCGGGTTATTTTTGAAGGGAGCGATTGTATTGCCACGGGACTAGTGACAACAAACTAACAATGGGCATTAACAAAGTCGATGTAACAGGCTCCGAAGGATTTTTAAGTTCATGAATGAAAAATTAATCATTCAAGGCCGAAAATTGAGATGAAAAAATTGAAAAAAAAACACAATTTCTGATTGTTTTGCAATCTGTTCTCTTTCATGATTTGTAATTAGGGGAGGGTGGGGGGGGGGAACGGACACTTTAGACTTTTTNGGACACTTTAGACTTTTTTCAAATTATTCATAACTCAGAAACAAATTGATCAATTGAGCTCAGTTTAGGCTCGTCACAAAGGGAAAGAATTGTTCTTTGTATTGAAAAAAAATTATTGAATTTTATCAACATTTCAACCCTTATTAACATTTTTTAAAAAGTCAAAAGTGTCCGTTTTACCCCAACCTCCCCTAATAGGGCTGATTTCTCGAATTATTTGAATTATTAATAAAATTCTTTCTGATAAAATTTCAATGAAGTTTACATTCACAATTGATTTTAGAATGTGGAAATTTTCGCGTATCTATAATAGCTTGAGAGATACAGCGTTTTAAGCAATTGAAATTGTTAATAACAATTGTTAATAATAGCGCCCCCAAAAACATAAAATTCAATCAAGTTGTCCCGCGGACCCTTTCCTGTATACAGGACTATCTTAGGCGTAAGGACTATATTGTTTTGCTCCTTGTTCTCCTTCATTATTGATAATTCACAATGCTGATTCCTCGGATTATTTGAATAATTGATAAAATTCACTTCAATAAAATTTCAAGGGAGGCCACCTCCATAACTGGTTGGCAACTATTAATTTTATCTCTTGAATGAAGAGCATGTCATCAAGATGGCATTGATAATTCGTTTTCACCTCGATCGGTCTTCCTTGGAGTTTTGATTGAAGATAATACTCAATCTCATTCCATCTCCAAATCTCTTCATTTTTTATCTAACGAAATTAAAACACCTAGTGTAACCACGCGAAATATTTGCCTCGTGAAATTCGTCGTTCTTTTCTGTTGACGAAGTTAACATAACAGCAACTACTAATTTTATTATTTGAATTGAGAATATTGAGAACAAGAATTAAGCATTTAAGGCCGAAACTTGAAATGAAAAATTAAAAAAAAAATTCATGCAAGTTCGCTATTGTTTTGATGTCTGTTCTCCTTCATTATTGGTAATGAATGGGGATGATTCCCCAAATTATTTGAATAGTTAATAAAATTCATTTCGATAAAATTTCAATGGAGGTCACATCCATAAATTATTAGCAACTACTAATTTTATCGCATAGAGAGCTTGCCATCAAGATGCTATTGATAATTCGTGCGAACCTCGATCCATCTTCCTGGGGTTTTAATTGAAGATACTCAATCTCTTGTTTACATTCCACCTCCACAACTATTTATTTTTTATTAAACTAAATTAAAATTGAACTGGTTTCAACTTCCACTGAATATTGATTAAACCTTGACGAAATCTTGGTTAAACCCTGATTAACCTCCGACTAAATCTCGATTAAATGCTTTTTAAGGCTATAATTTCGAAGCAAATGATGCAATCGCCACAATCCTCGAACTCGACCGAGATCACGGACGAAAAAATTTAATAGAAAAACCGATCGAATTCGTTAGAAAATTCTATTGAATTTCTATTGAACTGTTCTATTAGTTTTTGGCCGATTCTATTGAAATATTCAATAGAAAATATTCAGTAGAACAATTAAAAAGTCAATAGAATTCAATTTTTCTATATAACTTATTCTATTGAGATATTTTCTATAGAATTTCCTCGGCTCAAATTTTTAAAGTTTTTCCGTTTGATTTTCTTGATGAGAAGAAAAGAAAAATCGAATGAAAAAACTTGTAAAATTTGAGTCGAGCAATTTCTGTAGAAAATATATGAAAAAAATATGTTATATAGAAAAATCCAATTCTGTTAACTTTTTCTATTGAATTTGTTCTATTGAACATGTCAATAGAATCAGCCAAAAACTATTAGAAAGTTTAAGAGAAATTCAATAGACTTTTCTAACTAATTGCGTGATAACATCCAAACAAATATTTTAAGCCACAATTAAAAAGATGTTGACTATTATTTTTGTTATGATCGTCAACAAACTAAATTTGAAAAAAAAGCTCACATACATGCATACGGACATGATCTAAAAACAGCATATTCGAACTCCTGAGACCAAAATTAGTCATCATCACACAAAAAAATGGAAATTTCAGATTTGACGAATACAATGCTTCCATTCGAAAGCAAAAATAAAAGAAAATAATGCAAGTTTCCTACTGTTTTTCTGCCTGTTCTCCGTAATCATTGATAATTCACAAGGCTGATTCTTCAAAATATTTGCATAATTGATAAAATTAATTTCGAAAAAATTTCAATGGAAGTCACATCCATAACTGATTAGCAACTACTAATTTTATCACTTGCACAGAAAGCATGCCATCAAGATGGCATTGACAATTTATAATTGATAATTCATTTGCACCTCGATCCATCTTCCTGGGATTTTGATTGGAGATACTCAATCTCTTGTTTTCATTCCACCTCCACGACTCGTTATTTTTTATTTAGACGAAATGACAACAACTCGTGCAAGCACTCGAAATTTTTGATCCGAGAAATTTGCCATTCTCCTCTGTCAATGAAGTATCCGATAATTTTACAGCGCAGGTGACATTACATCTGATAATCTCTGAACTGATAACTAATAATGGATGCGTTGACAGAGGGGAATAAAAATGATCGTTGCATCGCGAAATAAGTCAGTGATAGCGTAGCTCTTACCTGGTTGCGGTATGGCACTATTTGACTTGTCAGACATAACTCTCTATGATGATGACAAGACTAATCTCGATATTATGAAAAGTCTTATTGAAGTGAATGGGCAGGAGGAAGCGTTTTACTTGCTCGACGTTGGAGATGTTGTGAGAAAGCACAAGAGATGGCTCGAGAAAATGCCAAGAGTTGTTCCACATTTTGGTAATTAACACCCAAAAATATGATACCATATTTTTTAATTTTAAAGATTTAAAAATAAGATTTTTGTGATACCTGCCTTAAAAGTGCACTTTTCGAAACGGTTTAGCGTGCCTAAAGCGGTTGTTGAAATTCCACGTATGAAAAAATGCTATAGGATTTCCTATAGGAAATCCTATGGAGAATTCGAACATTTCCTATAGAATTTTTTTGATAGGATTTCCCACAGGACTTCCTATAGGATTTCCTATAGGATTCCCTATAGAATTTCTTATCAGATTTATTACCCTAATCCTCACCCTTGTAACCGATTGGTTTCGAGTCTCAATTTTGTGTGTTACTTTCTATCGAAAACTCTAGTAAATTCTATAGGAAATCCTATAGGAAATGTTCGAATTCTCCATAGGATTTTTTCATACGTATCACTTTGCGCGCGCTCTTGAACTTTACGCACTCGTGCACAAAAACAACTACATTACCTCCACTACCGTTCCGAACAGTGAACTCGGCAGGTACCACAAAAAATAGGATGTGTTACACGTGCGTGTGAAAAAGTGAAACTTTACGCACTAGTAACACAATATACTATTTTATCACACGTGCGTGTGAAAAAATAGAGTTTGAAACTCCTGGGAAAATTGTTCCTTGATCCTTGGGAGGGTAGCGCTCGCCTTCGGTCCCATTTTTAAGACATGTTTCCATGTGAAAATCAATGATAGAACAACGGTATGTCATTTTATACGAAAAACGGTTTTTACATCAACTACTGTATTTCCAAAAGTATTGAATCGATCAATCTGAAATTTACACAGGAGTACAACTCGATGATACTAACTAGTCCTCAACATTTTAGAACTTTACCACATCCTTCACTCATGTAATGAAACGTCAAAGCAACTTTCAGACAAAAAACATAGCAAAACGCCAATATCTCGTAAACTTTGTAGGAACGGGTATATATTTTTTTAAAGAACTAGATAGAAGACATCAAGACGAATATTTTGAAAAACAAAATTGAAATCAGATGAACTGGAATTGAATGAATTGGAATCAGATGTTTTTCAGATATTGAACAATATAGTTTTATACAAAAAGTTGTATATCTTTAAAACTACTCATGCAATTTCGCCCAACTAAAATCCCAGCCTGTGATATAGTAAGAGCTAGAACCCTACTAAATGGCAACTTCCTTTCTTAATTTTTTCAAACGTTATCGTGTTCACATCAATTTTATCTCAAAAATAAAAAATGCCAATTACTGGGCGACTCGCAATAGTTAGCTAGTTATATTATTGTCCGATTCTATGGATATTACCATAAGGAATATTTTGACGCCAAAAAAGTTCATTTGATGCAGCAGTTTTCAAGATATTGAGAAGAGAAAAATTTTTCGGAATCGCTGTATTTCAAAAACTACTGGACCGACTGAGCTGAAATTTCGCCCAGATGTGCTCCCGAACAATACCAATTATGAGCCAGAATTTCAGATTTTTACCCATCACTTTACTCCTTTCTTTGTGAAAATTTATAAAAAAATTCCCAGAATTTTGCACGCACATACGGACGTACACACAGACATTCTCTAAAAATATCATATCTCGACGTTTCATGACATTCTAAGTCATTTCCAAGCAGAATTAGAGAATCTAAAAATCGACCGATTGCGAAGCTTCCACTCAGAAGCAAAAAACTATAAGAATCAATGGAATTAGGTTTTTCTATAAAAAATTATAATTTAGACATATTTTTCTAAATTATTTGTTTTATTTTATTTTTTATAAAATCCATAATATAAATTTTCTTGGCTCAAATTTTGTGAGTTCCTTTATTTTATTTTTTAATGAAAGGAGAAGGAAGATAGAGTAGAAAAAACTTGTAAAATTCATGCTGAGGAATTATTATTGAAAATGTCTCAATAGAAACAGTTGTATAGAGATGGAATTCTACTGTTTTTCCCTATAAATCCCTTTCTGTTGGACGTTTTCTATTGAAAAACGCGCAGTGAAGCTGCGGAAATTATCAATAGAATTGACCAAAAACTAATAGAAAGTTCAATTGAAATCCAATTGAATTGTCGAGCAAATCGCTAGGTTTTTCTATTAAATTTTTACGTGTGTATTCCATTAATCTCAAATCATTTTTTTTCTGATGAAATTAATCAAGAATATTTAATCTCATGGTTCTGCAGCTATCAAATGCAACCCAGATCCTAGAGTGGTCCGCATAATTACTGCTCTCAATGGAAGCTACGATTGTGCATCAAAGGTAAACATAATGAGACTTCGAGATAAATTCCAACCGGATCTTATCACTGGTTTCGATATTGACTGTAATGAGTGGGCGCATTTTTATTTCAGCAAGAAATCCAATTAGTGATGGAGAATGGTGTATCACCTGATCGCATCATATTTGCAAATCCGATCAAAGGAAATTCACACATCAGATATGCGAAAAAAGTTGGCGTCGAGAGAATGACTGTTGATACGACGGGCGAGGTTTTGAAGCTAAAAAATCTTTACCCTGAAGCGAAGTGAGTATAAAGGCGGGGGGGGGGAGTTGGTTCATTCCATTCCAATTACAACCGCCCTATCAATGAGAAATCAGCAATTTTATTTCTTTAAAAAAATGATAAAAATATGATTCTATCGTATTAAAGGAATAATTAATTAATTTGGTAATTCGCGATTGGATAAAATTAATTGGATGTAAAAGTAACAGGTGTAATCTCAACGCAAACACTCAACACGTATAATAACTTTAATTCAACATGATCTTCATCCAACGCAATTGCAGATAAAAAACGGAGACTATAGAAAAATACACTTTCATTCACGGATGATAAAAATTATAAGGCAATCACAGAGCATTCACTATTGAAAACTTCGTGAGTTTCATCCAAAATTCTACACGGAGAGAAATATTCAGTAAAAATTACGGAACAATTCACGTAATCCGCGATGGGGAATCGTTTTCCGGCAGTTTTTTTAGGAATGCAAGAGAAGAAATCTGAAACGTTCAGTGAATTCTCAGGTTCATCACCGAACAAAGTATGTAATTGTCACGTAATTTTTCCCGCAGAAGTAAAATCTTACAGAAACTTACCGACTTATTGTGGCTCCGAAATCGAAAATTCTTGAACGTTCAACAATTTTTATGAAGCTGGTGAGTTATTTCTACGGTTCGTTCCGTAAAATTTCTCAATCGTTGGGGAAAAATTACGGAACGACTTGTTGTCCCCACAGCGGTGAGGATACCAAGACACAGGTGATTAATTTTTACGGAACCAATCGTAGAATTTACGTGGCGATTCGTACAATTTCAGTTTCGACTCACACTTTTTATTGAATTTTACATTGCTCGCGGATTACGTTTCGAAACGTAATTTTTACGTTTTTTTCTGGTAATTTTCATTGAATTTTTCTCTCCGTGTAGAGCTTTTTCGAATATTTCAAATAAACTATTTGAGATTAGGAAAGAAAATAGTGAATTTAAATTTTTTGCGCACAACTTCTTCTGTAGATTTTTTTTAGCTGGACCATTATTACCACGGAAAAAAGTATACCTGAATATTTTATACAAGATTTTTTTTTTTACTTTTTGATGACAATTTCTTTTTGGGAAAAAGAATCTAAAATCTATGCTGATTTTTTTTAATTTTTGGAAGTTTTTCGTTGAAATTAAGAAATTCTTCTCAAAGTGTTAAAGTGCGTGATACCCGCGTTTGGCTTGTCACCAAACGCGACCCGCGGCTTTGGTCACCTGCGCAGGGATTCGCCGCCGTGTTATTTAGGCTTTAGTGTTGCCGAATTCACTCTACACTGCCCGGGTGCGTGTAGCGAGATTCCGGCAACATCGCATCATGGGCAATTTCATTTAACGTGGGAAAAAAAAATCATCCGTTCGAAATAATTCGTTTTCATTAGGAACCTTAGGAAATCTGCTATTCTAAAAACTACTATAATTTTTTAGACACTTCAATTGACAAAGTCAAATTTTTCTCAACTTTTCCCGTTAGCCACTCAATTGTAATTAAAGAAAAACGACACGCAGCGGGATTTCCCTCATAGGGTGACCAATTTAGGGTTAAAAATCATTTCTCCACAAAAAATGTTCCCCACATCTGAACATAATAAAAGCGGACATTAAGGATAATCGGGCGAGCCCGGAGGGTTAGAAAAAAAGCAGCCATTTTTCTCTCTTGTTTTTTACGTATTCTTTAAATGATGGAAAAGGCATGTGCAAAGTTTCAGACTGCTGGAGAACATGGTTAATTTATGATGAATTTCTGAAAAAGTGGCCATTTAACCCGTGATCTTATGGAAATCACAAAAAAAACTGCAAAACCCAAGGAAAAAATGCAGCCAAAGTCATGAAACTTTAGACAGATTTAGAACATGTGATCAATGATTTTTTTTGTGAAGAAGATTGTCGCCTAAGACCATTGTTTATTAATAATAGCGAAAAAAGTACTGAAAAATGAAATTTCTGCGCACGCAGCCCAACCGAGCAGCAACGTCTCAAGTACCGATCGGGTGGGGGTAGCGCGGTCAATTTAAACGTCTCTTGAGAGAGAGTGATGAAGCGTTGTGATTGGAGCTCCCTCGAGCCAATGGTACCAGCTCCTGGTGAAAAAAAAACTACCGACGATCTTTCCAGTTTTTCGCATGGATTGATATTTTTTCATTTATTAAAAAAAAAACAATCTGAAAACCATTCAATGCGTGGAACAGATACAAATAAATTTGATTAGCTCCAAAAATAATTTTTAACCGAAGATACTCCCAATATTGCCTGAATTTTGAATCTGAATGGGAACAATTTTTTTGACACTGCTGCTACGTTCACCTCGTGTCGAAAAGTGCCTTTTCGTTTACTAGTAAACGAAAAAAGGCACAGTTCGCCACTCGCTGAACGTAACATCACTGTCAAAAACTATTGTTCGACACATGTGAGACAGGAATTTTCAGCTCGTGTGATTGGCAGCCCTCGGCTTCGCCTCGGGCCGCCAACTTCACACTTGTGAAAATTCTGTCTCACTCGTATCGAAATATACTATTTTATTCAGCGATTGGTTTTCTACAGGAAAACAATAGAAACCCCTCCGCCTCACCTCCTACATTTCCTCCTCGCCCGATTATCCTTAACTTCTTTTTGCGTAAAAAAAATCAGATTCAGATATATTAATCTCGATTCAAGAATAAAATATGCTTATCTCTGATATTATATTACACCTGATTCCGGCATATTTTATACGCTACGTTTTCCTCAATAGTATGAAGATCTTCGGATCGTCACCAAAATTCCTATTTATGGTTGCACTCAATATCTAGACGTTCTTAACTGTTTTTTTAAAATTTTCTCATAGTTCCCCTGTTGTCGAAATTATATGCAAATTCATTATAATGCTCATTTTTCGATTCTAGAATTGTGATTCGCGTGGCAATCGACGGCTTCGAGTGTGGAATGACGTTCAGTAGAAAATTCGGTTGTGAACCGACGATTGAGACTGTGAAACTCATGAGTTTCATCCAGGAAACTGGAATGTGTCTTTATGGATTCAGCTTTCACCTGGGCAGCCCTTGTTGGGATACCAACGCTTTTGGCCGAGGAATCGATACTTGCAATGACTTGATTAAACTAGCTGAATCCATGGGGTTCAATAACTGCAAATTCATTGATATCGGTGGTGGAATTTCTGGTATCAGGGATGAGTCTATCGAACAGGTATGCCATTCCATTTTGTTCTCTTTCCTGAAAAACGACGCAACAGGTCCTCAGTGTCTTCTGAACATGGAGCTATCACACAAAAAAAATTCACGAAAAAATCATGAAAACAATAAATACGAGAAGATTGACGATTCTTCTATGCGATTTAAGTAAATTCATTTGCGAGAAAATCATATTTGAGTACAAGAATATTTTAAAGCATGAGGCCTTTCTCGGGTCATATGAGTTGAGATGCCTGAGAGAATTGAGCAATTGAAAAAAATTTACTTGTCTCAAGAAAATATGTTTCAGATATTAGGAAATTTTTTTCTGTACTGCTTCTCACGATTTCTCGTCTGGGAATTGGTATTACATACTTCCCAAACTCGAAAACTTGAAAATCACTACAGAAAAATATTGTTCCTGGGCTGTTGCGATGGGGTTTTTTTACTCGTGTAGTTGGCCACTCCTCGCCTACGGCTCGGAGGCCAACGCCACACGAGTAAAAAACCCCATCGCAACAGGCCGGAAAAATACTATTTCTCAGTGCATGAAATGGCTTCAAAGACACCCCTCGAGCTGGGAGAATTAAGGAGAGTTCACTGTACTTTTTGTTACTCTGTTCGTGAATTCCCGCATACCGCACGCTGCACACTGCAAAACCTGAACGTACATAACGTTTCGTTAAGCGTAATTTACGGTTTTCTAACCATCATTTATGTATAATGCCAATATGATGTCAGGTGACTTTGTTCCGAAATGAAAACTGGAATTCAGAGTTTACGGCGGCGTATTTTACGGTCAAAATAAAAACGTAAATTCCGCACAAAGAAAGCATTTTTTACGTTTCATTAAACGTATTTCACGCTCAAAAAATCGTAAATTACGATCTTAACAGAAACGTAGTGTACTATTTGCTCATGCGTAATTTACGAAAAAAATATCGTATTTTGCGCCGGAAACAACTTTTCTTTTTTTCGTCGTAAAATTCGGAAAAATCATCCTAATTTATGAACATGAAATCGTAAATTACGTTTATGCAACCGTAATTTACGATGATTTTGAGGGTAGTTTACACTTTAACTTCAAGCATAAAATGCGCTTCAGAATGCGTAAAAAACGACTTCATAAATGTAATTTACGTTTAGGTTTTTCTGTATGTGCGTGTACTAAAAAAAAGCCGCTTACGACGCCCCATCGTGACAAAAAATATGCTTCGCCTGTAGGTCATAAACGAATTTTCTGTCGAATATGAATGTTGAACTCACCTTCGCTTCGTCCTGCAACCTCATAAAAATTATGTATGTATCCAAAATTTTGTGCAACGAGTTCTCTGGAATAAACGATGCGATTTGTTTTTCGCCATCGATGCATGTTCATCGAACTTAGAACTGATTAGATGTAAAAAGAAATTAGGGGGATTTCTCCGTGTGAAATAATAATGTGATTTAAACATTTTTTAATCGCAATTGATAAGTCTCCATGTAGAGTACACACATGATGAAACTTTGGAAAGCAATGACTCAGCGATTCCTCAGCTTTTAAATGAATCAACAAAACATTGAAATGACGTTTTTTCATAAAAGAGCAGATCCGCGCCATCAGCAGTCCAAAAAAGTCGATGCTGGGGATTTTTGACTCATTTTTTTTCTGAAAAAATGGCGACTAGATAAAATTTTTGAAAAAATCTAAACATATTCACATTTGACGGAGTTATGATTTTTTGAAAATTACTAAATTTGTAAAAATTTTCTTTTCCATATTGACTGAAATATCTCAGCCACGTTGAATCTATCAACTGGCCCTTTGGCACACTGAAAGAATACGAAAATCCCTTCAAAATGAGACCTCATACCTACCTAGTATTATCTTCAATTTGCCGGGGTTTATACGGGAAAACTTTGTTTTCAATCGTTAATTACTCAGAAACCAAATTTTTTAAAAACCATTAGTTTTTTGGTAATTTTCAACTAACAATTTTGTTGCCCCAAACAAGACTTGTTTGGGAACTTGTTCGTTTTCCTCTCAGTGTATCCCTCGCGTGCTAGAAGCCCGCATTTCCTCATTTACTATCTCTTAAGGGGTCTCCAATGTGTCTAGTTTATTGTCTATATTTAATTTGAGAAGTAAAAGTCGAGGGTCCACGATCTCCCATATATCCACGGTAGAAATTACCTTAAATCCACGGGAAAACGTCCCGTATATCCACGGTCAAAGTTACCGTGGAGCGTGTGCACAGACACTGCCTTTAAAATTTGTTAATATGAAACTATAAATTTACTACTAAGTGAATAATTCAAATTTCTTGAAAGGGGACTTTCGATTACGCAAGTCATCGTCAATCTTCCTAACTCAAATTATTGATTGATAAAATAGTTGAAAATTTGAATATTTAAATTGATGATACACTGGGAAAAAAAATTACTTTTCCCAAGGAATCATTTTCTTGGGAGAAGAATTTATTTTTTTAGGNCACAGACACTGCCTTTAAAATTTGTTAATATGAAACTATAAATTTACTACTAAGTGAATAATTCAAATTTCTTGAAAGGGGACTTTCGATTACGCAAGTCATCGTCAATCTTCCTAACTCAAATTATTGATTGATAAAATAGTTGAAAATTTGAATATTTAAATTGATGATACACTGGGAAAAAAAATTACTTTTCCCAAGGAATCATTTTCTTGGGAGAAGAATTTATTTTTTTAGGAGCTTATTTCTCTAGGCCAGTCATTCCCAGGTGGTCCATGTCCATCTCCAAATATTACAATTACGTTGAATAATGAGATGATTATGCTACATATGACCTTGAATGAACACGCTTCATTATTTTTCAATTTTTTCAAATTCGAGGTTTTCTAACGTATAATAATTTGAAATAATTTTAAAGGTTAATAATTGTCAATGGAGTTCATTCAAGGTCATATGTAATATAATCATTCCATAATTGAACATAATTGTAATATTTAGAGATTGACTTGGACTCCTTGATAATGACTGGCCTGGAGAAATGCGCTCCGCAAAAAATAAATTCTTCTCCTAAGAAAATGATTCCTTGGCAAAAGTAATTTTTTTTCTCAGTGTACTTAAGTACTCAAAAAACTTCAAGAGTGATGTTATCTAATTAAGGGCCACAATATTAACCGTGATACAATATTACAAATCCGGCTATCCCTGTGTAGCACAGCTAGTTCAAATTTTTTTCAATAGCTACGCAATATTATAAACATTGCCTGTAAAAAACAAGGATAATCGTCGAAAAAACCTGCTTTTAGGGGTCAATCTTAATACGTAAATCCTTGAGTTATCTTGTCTCAACAATGTATGATTGAATCGAAGAGTAAATGAATGACATGCAGTTTATGAATCAATTTTTTATCGTTATCATCATCGCTATCGTTACGAAATTTCTGATTTCCTTTGTCTTTAATCTGATCTGTCTTACACCTATTGATATGCATAAAAGTAGCTTCGTTCATTTTTCAGACAATTGGAATGATAAATTTTCCAGGTAGCTGCGTCCGTCAACGCAGCCTTGGAGAATGTCGATCCATCTATCAAGATCATCAGCGAGCCCGGGAGATACTACGTAGAATCCGCATTCACTCTGGCAGCTTATGTGCAGGGGAAGAAATTAGTCGAGGAAGGGGGAACTGTCAAGCGATTCTATTACATCAACGATGGAACGTACGGGGCGTTCATCGAAGAACTTTTGGATATCAGGCAGCAATTGCCGACGTCATTGTACGAGGTAAAAGATTTCAGGTCATCATACACTCAGAGAAATATCGACATAATATATCACAAAACTAATTTCTTGCGGCAAATATATCTTCTCTTAACTTTTACACCGAATTTCCGGTCTGGGGGACCATTATCCAAACTTTCACAGTATAAAAACTATTGATAAATGTAAGAAAAAAAATTCAAACTTCCAGTAGCTTCCTATTTCGTCGGTTCCAATCGATACGAAACGCACTGAGAAAAATTTCAATGGTAATTTCAACTACAAGGGAATTGTCAAAAAAATAATAGTTACGGTAACAATAAACATTGTAGATTCAACTATTACATTAACGTGAAAATTACATCGTAATGTTGATGACACTATTTGACATAGTAAATCGAATGATGAATCCTAGTTTAATCTACAAAGTTTATTGTTACTGTAAATATAATTTCTTTGACAATTCACTTGTAGTTGAAATTACCATTGAAATTTTTCTCAGTGCGTTTTTGATTTTTTTTCGCTCCGATAAATCCACGAAACCACCAATGTTTCTTCTAAATAATTTATTCCCTGGGGGAATTAATAAAAAATAATACTAATAACAGCCGCGATTTGTATGCAAAACTGTTCATAACGAACATTTATTTGCGAAGAAAAACAATGAAATTAAATATACTCATACGTTTTGCCTCTGTTCAAGGGAAAGGCTCCGTTTGACCCTTCCATCGTTTAACCTTTTCTTGTTTGACCTGTCCTATGAAATCCTGTGAAATGTTCATGATTTTAACACGAACACTTGGCGATAAAGTCACAATTTCTTGCATTAAGAAATCGTTTATTTCGTGTCAAAAGATGAGAAAATTACTAATAGTACTAAAAGCTTCGATTGAGTGAATCATAGATCAGAGACTTTCATATTGAATGAATGCTGAATTTATACAGGGGAGAACCTTGACATATTTCTAAAGTATAACCGTCACTGGCTCTCAATCGCAATGAATTTGAAGAAAAGCAATAACATCTTTTCCTTCTCTCAAACTTATTTTGTCTCTTCAGGAATATCATCTAATTTCCAGAAAAAAATATCATTATTTCATTCAGTATTATCCTCTTTTAGCCCGAATAGCACTGATTTACTGCCTGAAACCTACCATGAATTAAACGAATACGCATGCGACATTCTTCACTCAAGAAATTATTTTTGTCATATTATGTCGATTTTTCTCTCAGTGTATGAACTGAAAATTGAATACAATAACTAGCGCTTTCTGTGGAAAATTGTAGTGATTTTTCATTAGAACTCTTCAAGAATTCTATTCAAATTTGGGCTTCCAAGTGAAAGCTTCGCCATCGTTAAAATTTTCAGCTAAAATTTACGGTAAAACTTTTGGAAATTTTTGTAAAGCGCAATTTCCACTGAAAATTCAAGGAATTCCATAATTAAAAATGTAGCGAAGCTACTTATATATTTATTTCGCATTATTTCAATCTATTGTATTCGAGCTTGGCTTAGCAACCGAATACCTTACTACGTCACCTCGCGACAATTCATAATAATTCGGGCATCCTCGATCGGAAGATTAACACCGTTGCCGCTGGAGTACACTCTCATTCCAGCTCTCATGGTGTAAACCAAGTTACATTGCTGTGAATAACTCTTATTCGATATAGTACATGAATTCCGAGTGTTATACATTACAAAACCCATCTATCCCTCGCCGAACTCCCACAAATCGTTGAAAATTAACGATTTGATTTTAAAAACTCATTGGAAACTGTAAATTTCAGGTGAACGAGATTTTAAATTTTTAAGCAAGTGAAGGAAATTCAATATCATTTGAAATTTTACGATTTTTTCCCTCTTCAATCCAATTCAATTTCGCTCACGTGAAAATTACTATTAAAAGTTTCAGGAATTTCAATTTTCTTTCTGACAATTCCGAGAAAATCTCAATAGAGTGAGTCACATAGAGCAATAAACGTCTATTGTCATCTTTCCATCAAATAGTATGATATATTATACATTATCTATCTCCTGACAAACGACAAAGTCGCGCTATTTTCAATAGGAATCGACGCAAGAAATAAATAGTAGAATTTTTAGCAGAAATATGACATAAATTCAATGGAACTTCGCGAAGAAGGCGCTAGGTTTCTCTTTTTTTATTGATACACGCCTATTAAAATGAATAATCACTCAAGTTTATCATAATTATTGGATTCAGTTGCCCAGCGATGAAAAACACCTCTCCGTCATTTGGGGACAGACCTGCGACCCTTATGACTGCATCATAAAAGGATCGGAAATGCCGGAATTCGCGGCTGGGGATTGGATGGTTTGGCATAATATGGGCGCCTACAGCCTCTCAAATTCAACAGTATTCAATGGCTATCCTCCCGCCGTGGTGTTTCCGATTATGAGGAAGACTGCTCTGTGAGTTCACTGATAATAGTACTACTGGTGTTACTGGTACATAAAGTTCCACTTTTTCGTACACACGTGCGAACTTTCTGTTTTTTGAAATACTTGCCGAGTTCACTTTTCAGGGACGCAGTGGGTGTAAATTGTTTGGTTTTTTTTGCGGAGTGCGTAAAGTTCCAAGTCGTGTGTAACAGTATATTTCATCACTTGTGTATAAAGTGAAATTTTATGCACGCTCCGCGTGCGCAAAATTCCGGTCTCTGTGCATTGTGATGAAATACTTATTTTCATCACGCTGTGCAGAAAAGTGAACTTTTCGGCACGCTCCGCGTGCCTAAAAGTCCAATTTCCGCCACATTGTGATGAAAAATATTGTTCGTAACTCGTGAAAAAATGTTTTTTAGCTCGTGGGATTATATCACTCGTCTTCGGCTCGTGACATAAACCTCCCACTCGCCAAAAAACACTTTTTTGCACTCGTTACGAAATATACTATTTCGTCACACGGACCTAATGTACCAGATTGCCCTCCTGAAAAGTCACTAACAGCCACCTGTTAGTGGCTTTTCAGGAGGCCAATCAGGCGCATTACGTCTACATGACAAATATTTTTTTTTTTCACATTTTTCTAAAAAACCGTCATCACTCCCATCTCGAAATTTCCGGTGGCATTCGTATGTGGTGGCGCGGGAGGGCCTTCAGAGAGTTGGGGGGGAGGGGGGCAAAACCCCGTCACTGAAGAAAAAATAAACAGCAAAATAAGAAAAAAAATATCAAGATGAACAAGGGAATTGAAGAAGGAAATTTTTGTTTCAAACAGATTGTTTCCAACAAAAAAATACAAATTACAGAGTAATTTGTGAAAACAGCTCCAATTTTATGTGATGAATGACAAATTCATTACTTAATTATTGATTTGGTGTTTTAATGGTTTCATCAAATGTTTTTTTTACGGCCTCGGAGTCCCTTTTCGGGTTCCATTCGGCACTCTATCCAACCCTATGCATGCGGCTCTGGATTCTACACTGTGCCGCATTCGCACTCCTATAGAACATAGGAATAGCTTGGGAAACCACAGGAAACCCATGCCGGTACATGCAGTTCCTCTATTAGCAACCTCCCGCTCGCCAGAGCCTTCCGTTGAAAAATTCGGTTCCACGGGGAATCGAACTCACAACCTCTCGCATACTAGACTTGCGTCTAATCGACTCGACCACCGACGTCGGTTTTTCATCAAATGTTGAAAAATAAAATATTGATGATTAAAGTAGATTTCAGAACATTCTTATAAACATTAAATGTCTATTATTGGCGAAGTTCTGAAAGATCAAATTAGTCAATTCAGTTAAATTTCGAAATATTTGTATATTTTTGTTGAATTATTATGTAAAAAAACTTTTTAATTTTAATGATCCGATCGTTACGTATTTCATGCGGAAAACCAACACTTTACGCCGCTTAATCGCCCTTAAAAGTGAACTTTCCAGGCAGGTATTGCAAAATAGAATTTTATCACTTGAACATATTTCCGTAGAATCCTATTCTAAAAAGAACATACACTTAAAATCGATAACTATCGATATCTCGCAAGTCTCACGCTTATTCCTCATTGGCTCCAGTCGTCTGAGGCGGCAAATTTAATTCATGATGATTAATTTAATTTTGAGATTTTCAATTATGATTGTTACAATTATAGCGCGCTGTAGTGCGCGTTCGGTGTCGTATTCAAAATCGCTCTGGGCGTTGTCAATTTTTTTTTAGATTTTCAATTATGATTATTACAATTACAGCGCGCTGCAGCGCGCGTTCGGTCTCGTTAAATCAAAAGATCGCAACTTTCGAATCATATTGTAGTTTTATTTAATTTAAAAAGATGACATTCTTGATCAAAGGAAATTAATTAATCACCTCCTCCATTTTTTTAAATTGATTTATTCTAATTCTTTTGTTTCATTCATATCTCCTAGTCAACGTTTTAACAGACATACATGAATAAAAAGGTGATTTTTTCCTAATTACAGCCAACAACTGCTAACAGAGCTGCAGAATATTCAAAAGATTCAACAAAACGGTAATAGTGAGCATTGCAACCACAGTGAATGTTCCCGGTGACATGGGAAACAGAAATATTCTATCAGTAGTTGTGCAATACATTCCTTACTTTTGGTGTCACTATGATGTCCAGCTTCATTTCAGCGAAATAGTTATAATAAACATATTGGGTAATTTGTGCAGAATTGTATTAATTCCAGTCTTTGATTCTCTATCCTACATTGATTATACAGTGTTCAAGGCGTTCCAGTTGATGTATCCGAGGCTGTTGCCATACGGAGCTTTTGAATTCGTCACGAAGTAGTAGCTCCCTCGTCTGTAATGAAGATTTATTTCATTTGTTAATCGAAAACTTCAGATCGAAAATTCAAAACTTTTTATAGTAGAGACGGAAAGGAAAATATTCACATATCGGGAGTATTCCACTGTTCTTTTTTGAGGATGACCGATAGAATGTAGATTTTGAGAATACATGCACCTAAAAATTTAATAGAAAAACCTATCGAATTCGTTAGAAAATTCTATGGACATGTTCAATAGAAAAAATTCAACATAAAAAGTCAACAGAATTCGATTTTTCTATATAACCTATGCTTTTCATATATTTTCTATAGAATTTCCTCGACTCAAGTTTTTTTCATTCTATTTTTCTTTTCTTCTCATAGAGAAAATCAAACGAAAAAACTTGGAAAATTTGAGCCGAGAAAATTCTATAGAAAATATTTCAATAGAATAAGTTATATGGAAAAATTGAATTCTACTGACTTTTTCTACTGAATATTTTTTATTGAACATTTCAATAGAATCGGCCAAAAGCTAATAGAACCGTTCAATGGAAATTCAATAGAATTTTCTAACGAATTTGATAGGTTTTTCTATTAAATTTTGTCGTCCGTGTGTCGTTCTCATGATTTTTCATCAACAAATTTATCAATTAAATTGCGCGAGAAAAATTGGAAAAAGTTAATTGAGAATCAACGACATTCAAATTAAGTTTTGCAGCGACTCCTTTACTAATATTTCTTGCTCATAAAAAAATAATAAGAATTATTGGAGGAGAAAATACTATAAGTTTTGAGAATACATAGGGGAGGTAGGGGCAAAGCGGACCCCCTCGAAAAAAAAAAGTGTGGGGTAAAGTGGACCCTCACATAAATTATTGAATCGAGTCGCCAGAATTATTCTAATACGTTTTATAAAGTGAAATTTACTACCTTGACTAAAAAAATATGCAATGAGGGCAAGTATAAATTTGTGTGAGCTCCTGCGGATCTAATTGTGAACAAGAAATGTGAGTTTTTGATCAACAGCGATTACATTCTATCCAATCGGTAGAACAACATGACAATGACTCCTGACAAACGGAAAATTAAAATAATTTTAAAAAAACAGAGGGTCCACTTTGCCCCAACATTAATTTTTTTTTAAATTTAATGACAGATCTTAATTGCAATTCTAATGAGATTATGATCTTCACGTGAAGTGTATTGACTCATTAGAATTTAAAAAACTAAACGATTCGCTTAGAGGGTCCGCTTTGCCCCTACCTCCCCTACATGCAAAAAGTGAAGAATAATGCGAGAATGAGACTCGGTTATTGTCTTTCATGTATCAAAAAATGTATGAAACAATTTGATAGCGCTGTCTCCGAGAAATTCTATCATAATTCTGTTTGTTGCGCAAATTCTATAAAAAATTATGGAACTTTGCTCTGTGGCTGTCAATAGATATTTTTCATAGAAAAAAGTCTATAGATATTGATTTTTCTATGCAACACAATTTTGTGAGATTTTTTTCATAAGAATTCTTGGACATGAATTTCCTAATAGTCCTTGTTGGATTTTATCATGAAAAACGAATAAAAATACCGCGGAAAAAACTTGGAATATTTAGGCTTCAGATTTTCTGCAGAAAAACCAATAGAAATTCAGTCGAATTTCATTGAGAAAGTGCCCTATTTTCCAATACGCGTCTGTTCTTCGTGTGTGCCAGAAGTATAAAATTGGAAATATCAGTGCAGCGTACAGAATTTTCTAGCCATTAAGACTTCTTTAATTTCAAAAGTCAAGGGAATCGTTATCGAAGGATGATATACAAGAGAACAATTGGAAATTTTCATCATAAAACTTTTTTTCAATGCCAATAGATAATGTTTTTCCGTCAGAATTCTCAAGAATTGGTTATTTTCCTCAAAAAGCGACATCGATGTTTAAAGATGTACTACACCGTTTCGGTCAAAATCCACGTTTTTTTTTTCATTTTTCTGGCAAATTATTGATCAGATTGACGCGAAATAATATACCGTTTTTGCGTTTTATCATTATTGACTGACTCACGAAGCTTCATGGTAGTGCAATCATTTTCCTGCATTTTTTCTAAAGTTTTGGGAATTTCCAAGAAGTTTTAGAAAAAAACGGAGGAAAATGATTGCACAATTATGAAATTTCGTGAGTCATTAAGTAATGATCAAACGTAAAAACGATATATTTTTTCACGTCAATCCGATCAAAAATTTGCCAGAAAAATTCAAAAGACGTGAATTTTGACTAAAAGGGTGTATTACGTCTTTGATAAAAATTGAATAATGCATGGTTATGCACTCACGAAAGCAGTAGGTACGGACCTCAACAAAACATTAACGTGAATGTAAAAAAATCTACAAAAATGCAACTGTAATCAATACTTACACATCATTAGGAACGGAATATCCATAGAAGACTTTCCGATTTCCGTCGCATTCTCCTAATTTATACTGAAAAAATGATGCACACTGTGTCGCAGGGAACGCATATTCGTATTTAACAGTTTCCGAGTAATATTGCCACGACCTCCAATGATTACACAAATCTGAGCAGAAAGATTGAAATTATTCTCAGAAAAACGTCAAGTTGAACATAGAGACTCTGCTAATTGGGTGATTATGTCAATATATGAAAGTCATTCTTCTATTGCTCAACGCACACGCATGAAAAAGTTTCATAGAAAAATCTAGCAAATTCGCTAGACAATTCTATTGAAATGTTTAATAGACAATATTCTACAGAGAAAGTCAATAGAATTCGATTTTTCTATGAATTCATGATGTAACGCAAAATCATTAAATTAAAATCATTGAAAATAATTTACTTTTCTTAACTAAATATGGTCTACTACATTAGGAAATTTTTCTCTCGGTGTATTGACTTTTTCTATACAATATTTTCTATTCAACATTTCAATAGAATCGGCCAAAAACTACACGGAGAGAAATGTTCAGTAAAAATTACGGAATTCACAATTCGCTCACCGATTACGGAATCGATTCAGAAAATTTAAGTGACAGTATCGCAATTTTTCACAGGAGATTCAGATAAAAATTACGGAACGCTCTGGGAAAATTCCGTGACAGTTACGTACAATTTCCTGCAACCACATCTCGCTCCAGAATTACGGAAAAGATAGCATAATTTTTATTGAATATTGCTCTCCGTGAACTATAAAGTTCAATAGAAATCCAATAGAATTGTCTGCCAAATTCGCTAGGTTTTCCTATTAAATGTTTTCGTGCGTGCAATCATGGTTACCTGATGGCGTGACGGGCACCCCCAGGAAGTTACATCCAGGCTGTGGCCTGGATCCCCCATTGGGATAGAAATCAACAGTACCAGTGTCTTCCCGAGCCCCGTAGAACCCACCATCTGTATGAATTATATCCACAAATCTTGCGCTGTTCGCATCAATGTGTTTTGCTCCCGTGTAGTAAAATCCTGGATTTGCAGGGTCGAGTCCTGTAACCATTTCATCAATACACTGTTAGAAATTCCTTCAAATTTCAGTCATAGCATCAGCTGAATTCTCAATAATGTTATGACTTTGAATGTAGTTTCAAATGAAAATGTTCATAAAATTTCTCATTCATCGAGAAAATTGGTTTTTCATATTGAGCGATCATCATATTTCAATGAAAGCTTGAATTTTCAGACTCATTGCGAAAATTAAACATTAGATGCAAGTGAATTTTTAATAGATTGAGAATTCAGAAAAGTTGTTGTCTGAATTTTCCCAATTTTCAACATTTTTCTAGGCCGTATGAACCTGGAAATCGAGAATTAATTGAATAGTCAAGAAATTAATTGATTCGCCAATAAAAAAATATTCAGAAATTTCAGGTAACTTTGTCGTTGTTAAAAACTTCAAGCTTTTTTACTTGAAACTCCAAGAGTAATTTTTTAACAGTGTATCTTATCATTTGGAAACGAAACAAATACTTGTTTATTATGATATGTATTATTGCACGTGGTGTGACCTAACATAGAAAATGAATTGCATCAGAACACATGCGAAAAAATCAATAGATTTTGATTCTTCAATACAATCCATTCTAGTGAGGTTTTTCTGTAGAAATTCCTCGGAATGATTATTTCCAAGTCCTACACTGATAGAAAGGATAGAAGTTATCGTTAACGAATGGATTTGGTTGGAGACAAGGGTCTATTCGGTCTCACCAAATATTCATTCGTTAATAGTTAACAAATACACATTTGAGGAGCCTTGTTCGACTCGATTTTCACTTTTCAAGTGAACCATTCGTCAAGTATTAACGAATATTCATTTGGTCATCTTCAACTTTACCATTCGTTAATAGTTAACAAATACACATTTGAGGAGCCTTGTTCGACTCGATTTTCACTTTTCAAGTGAACCATTCGTCAAGTATTAACGAATATTCATTTGGTCATCTTCAACTTTACCATTCGTTAATAGTTAACGAATCTCGTTTGGAATAAATGAATCAGTCTATCAGTATTCGCGTTTTGTGTATGCACATAGTGATGCCGTCGAGACTAGACGAGAATTATTTTGGAAAGATCATCACGGTCTAAAAAAACATCGAAAGTTTAGGAATCGTCGTAATCTCGAAAGACATTGGATCGGTGCAACTCGTCACGAACTTAGAAGAATCCATCACGTCTGAGTTTCAGTATTTTCTCTTTTTCAAATGTTTGTCTCGATATCTGTCTCGTCTCGTCTCGTGAACTTAAAAAACCGAAAATCTCGAGATCCAGACAAGATAAATCGTCCCGGAATTATGACGAGATATATCACTGAGAGAAAAATATAATTCTTCTGACTATATTTCATCACCATCGAATTATATTCAAAAAGTCCTCAACAATTTTTCATGGGTTACGGTAACTATGGCCGGAGAAGTAATTACTACAGTGGAATGTAGTCATTGCAGCTATTTTATAGTTCTCCTTACGATAGATTTATCGTGGTTACTTTTGAACTTTGGTTAGTTTAACTGCATTTTGATTTGCAAAAATTACGCTTGTGTTATGTGCCGCATATAAAAAAAAATCGTATCGTTCACCAAAATGCCTCAACTATTTTCTTATTGTAAATCGAACTTCAGATTTTTCTCTCAGTGTACCGATCCAATGTCTTTCGAGATTGCGACGATTCTAAAACTTTCGATATTTTTCCAGACCGTGATGATCTCTTCAAAATAATTTTCGACTAGTCTCGACGGCATTACTACATGTACATGAATGTAGAAAAGCGCTGACATTTCGCGCTATCCTCACGGGCCGATTTAATGGAATAAAGGAGATAAAACTCACGCCAAACACGCCGGTGACAGCGAAAAATGTCACTCAAGATTTTATACTTGGGAGTAAGTTTAGCTTTTTCTGCCATCAATAAATTGGCGGATTTGAGATGGGGAGCCTCTCGAATAGAAAACTCTGTGCTTAGTCTGTCTTGCATATGCTTTTGTTTTCGTTGTTGTGCACAGACCTGAGAGCCACACTGAGATGTTCCTGTCAGGCTTTTACCTGATTCGGGGCAGTGAGTTTACTATTGAGTTTGCCAAGAGATATCATTGAAATTGTTTCTTATTTTTATTTTGCACTATTCATTTTGGGTGCTCCTCCTGATCAACGTTAAAACCAAGCTGCACTGATATTATATCAATATATCAGTGCAGTTATACAATATTACTTGTAATCAATAGTTATAATCAATATTATAACTGCAACACTTCGATACTACTGTAATTTAAAATATTTCCAAATTGTTTTTATTTTTCTTTACTGCACTTGTAACCAACTAAAAACTTCCTTGTAACAACTGATATCATGGATCGAAATTAGAATAAACGAATTGATTGATTGAATAAATTGACGGCAGGCGTTCGAGGGGTTCCGTTTTAGTTGGTTTATGACGTCTTATGGGCTAAACAAAAGGTGAATATCTCCGGGACTAACCATCTAATTTATACCATTTTCAATACAAATGAAGAAATCTATTCAAATATTCAATACTGAAAAACTTTTATTCCAACTTAAACTTGATTTTTACTCAAATTTTTATTCGCATGGAATAAATAGTTTTTTAATTATAAACAAATGTTTTCGTAATCCAAATAAAGTCTTAAACAGCAAGGAACGTTGTCATTGTTTGTGCAGCGAAGATAACGAATTCGTTAATAAGTACACGGAGAGAAAAATTCAACGAAAATTACCAGAAAAAAACGTAAAAATTACGTTTTGAAACGTAAGCCGATAGCGAAGTAAAATTCAATGAAAAGTGTGAGTCAGAACTGAAATTGTACGAATCGCCACGTAAATTCTACGATTTATTCCGTAAAACTTAACTAGCCGTCTGAGGACTCATCGCTGTGGGGACAACAAGTCGTTCCATAATTTTTCCCCAACGATTGAGAAATTTTACGGAACGGAACGTAGAAATAACTCACCAGCTTCATAAAAATTTATGAACGTTCAAGAATTTTTGATTTTGGAGGCACAATAAGTCAGCAAGTTTCTGTAAGATTTTACTTCTTCGGGAAAAATTACCTGACAATTTCGTACTTTGTTCAATGATAAACCTGAAAATTCACTGAACGTTTCAGATTTCTTCTCTTCCATTCCTATAAAAATTGCCGGAAAACGATTCCCTTTTGCGGATTGCGTGAATTGTTCCGTAATTTTTACTGAATATTCCTCTCCGTGTAATAATCCTTCGTTTTCTTCGAGAATTCTTCGTTTCCTTATAATTGATTATTCATTCACCTTCTGGTAACTTATCATCAGGAAATATGTCTCAATACTTTACCTGTTATCCTGGGGATGGAATATTTAGTGTATTTCCCGAAGAATCCACCTATTTGTGCCCCTAATGAGTGTCCCACAAAGTGGAATGTTTCGAGGTTTAGGCCGAGATCAACGAGCGCATCGAAGGTCTTGGCTAGTACTTCTGCAACACCGCTGACTCGCCGTTTAACAATCAGGTAATTTTCGAAAGCCAGTTGACTCCAGTCGAGAAGGAATATATTGTCTGTTCCACGCTCTAAATATGCTGCACCAAACCGAGGAAAATGAAAAATTAATCACTTCCAAAGAAGTCAATCAATTCGGTAGCGAAGTGATAGAGGTACGAGGACTTCACCCACACGAAAAAAAGGAAACAACGAGTGGCCTCAGGGCTACAAGTGCACTTGGTAGTTTTTTTCGTATTAATTTATTCAGTAGTAATATCACGAGATTTCTTGATTGTTTTGTTGCGTAAGTATTTAAAAAAACTAATTCGTAATTGTTATTGTACTCATTTTTTAAATAATTTTGAAAAAAAAACTTCTAGCGCAAAAATTGGAGGCCCTGGACTATGAATGCAAACGAACAATAAACAATTAATTTTGTTGCACTAATTATTCGTTTTTAGATATATATAATCGATCTTCAATGCATGAGAAATCTTACTTTATTTTTTTCAATAGCTGGTGATTATTATAAACATTGTCGATGAAAAACATGGTGACAATCTTAAGAAAAATGTGCTTTCTAGGGATATACCTTAATATCCTTAAACTGATTTACCACTTCACTACTGACTTATTGAGTTATTGATTCATTGCATCAACATCTCACCTCCGACAACTGTCCGAATACTCGTGTTCGATGGATGCTCACGAAAACCATGAGTATAAATGACCAAGGGCATCGTGTGGTCTATTTGTTGATAAATTGCTTCAACTGATGTTATTGGAATATCTGCGACTGAGGCAAATTCGATTCTTTCCCTATGAAATTTGATTCAAAATTAAGTTCATCGGATCGCGATCATCTAAAGTTTTTGGTGAAATTGAAGGGTCCTGGTGGAGGGGCTCATCGACTAATTTTCGATAGGGCACTAAGAAAAAAATTTATTCCTTCAAAGAAAATGTTATTGGTGATATCTTTTTCATACTCTTAGTAGAAGAAAATATCTCTTTTGGAACGTATTTCTCCAGGCCAGTCATTTCCAGGTGCTCCGAAATCAGTTCCAAGCGTGAGAATTATGGTGATCTATAAGAATATTCTTCTGCATATGACCTCGAAGAAACTCCAATAATAATTATTAACATTTGGAATTATTCCAATTTTCTTTACCTGAGAAAATCGCCAATTTGTAAAATCCGGAAGATATCGGAGAACATTTTGTCAAGGTCATATGTAGCATAATAATCAGATTGTTCAACATCACTGTAATTTTTGAGGATAGACTTGGACTCTCTGAAAATGACTGTCCTGGAAAAATTCGTTCTGAAAAAATATTATCTTCTGACGAGAATATCAATCCTTGGCAGGAATAATTTTTTCTCTCAGTGGGGGAGCCGGGGCATGAAGGGATATCTAAGATGAGGACCATTTAGTATCTCCTTAATCGACACAATCCTCGAATTTATATTGTCTTTTATCTCAACGCTGACTGCAAAGGCATTTCGATGCTCATCAAATCCAATGCAATCAATGACCTTCACGACAAAATAAATATGATCGTCTTTAAGGGTGCCTAGTGAATTTGCAAAAAGATTCAAAAAAAATTTTTTTCTTTCCCTCCATCATTGGAGAAATCTGTATTTATCCATCCGACGAAATTTCAAACCCGCAATCGGAACTAGACATCGAGAAAATAAATGCGGAAAATCCTCTATTTCGCGTGACGAACCTCAAGAAAGCACGGGATCAAATGGGTACGGCGGGTTGAAATATCTCTCTTATTCACCCCGGTACCCCATTGTTTTTTGTCGCCATCACATTGAACACATCATTCTCCATATCTTCAAATTTTTTCAAATTTTTCTTGAGTTCCTAGGGGGTTGAAACGTTCAATTTAATCAAAACTCCATAAGAGGCCGTGTATAAGACTGATTTTGTTTATTTAATTTCTCGATATCCATAAGTTCTAAAATTTAAAAATTGTCACCGATGTTCACCATCTGTCTAATACTATTAATTAAAAAAATCATAACTTTGTTGGTGAATGTCAATTTTCAGGGTCATCGCCAAATTCACTTGGCACCCTTAATTGTAGAAATCGCTAATGCTCAGGGTTATTCTAGTCCGTGTCCAGTATCACCAATAACTGGCGACAGATTTCGAAAAATCAGTGACATGTTCCTGAAAATCTAAAATTTCTTTTCTCTGCCAATCCCATCTTCTACCAAAAATCACTCGATGTGTCTCTTCACCAAAATCAACGAACCCTTTGTAAACTTTCATCCTCATCCTCTCCGCCATTCGAATATCTCCCCCGCGGATGTACTTGAATATTTCGCCAGGCACATTATCCATAAGCCCCACTCCTCCCTCTGCCAAATTCTCACGAAGCACTGTAGTCAGAACAAAAACCACCATCCACTTATTGCACAGCATCATGAGAATAATTCTTTCACGAAAAGGACAACCAAGTTAAATTTCAAATGATGAACTTCGGGTGAGTCCCGATCCCTCAAAAACCTTCTAACTCCCTGACTCACTCAAATTCACTCACAACTTTATCATGTATTCGATTTTATACCGTTACCCTCTCCACTTGATTCGATCTTGGCATTGGAAAGGGATGCGATGATGGTGATTACCCCTTATGTAATTACGGAACGTAAATCAGCATTTACGATGTCGATCTTTTTCTCCATTGGCTCCTCCTCGCAAAAAACTTCCGCTGCATTCGGAAATTAAAATGATAAAAAGCGAAACTTTTTCGTAATATTCATAAATCCATAGGAGACACACCGGATTGATTGCGGAAGCATGCAACTTACATGATTTCAGGCAATTCATAACACACAACTGGATTCAGTTTCCGAATAATGATCTTGAATATTGCGCAAACGTTATTCAATTTAGTGGAAGATCGGTCGAGGTAAAATGGAGATGAAAATACTGCACGGCATTGTTTCAGGCTAGATGTTTTCGGGGTTTCGAAACATCAGTCTAACAGGTATTTTGGAGATTTTCGACGCAATGAGTTAGCCAAATTTTTCTTTCAAAGAAAAATTCACCCAAAAAAATTATTCATTCGCATCAAATAAATGTATTTATTCAGATAGCTTGCAATAAAACTTGATTTATTCAAACTTACATTTGATTTAAATTTCATTTGTTTTTGCATTTTAATTCACATTGAATGAATGGTTTTTTCAAAATATAAATGAACGTTCACACGGAGAGAAATATTCAATAAAAATGACGTATCTTTTCCGTAATTCCGGAGCATTCCGTAATTTTTATCTGATGAAAAAATTTTTATCTCCTGTGAAAAATTACGATATCGTCACTTAAATTTTCTGAGTCGATTCCGTAATCGGTGAGTGAAGTGAGAGTTCCGTAATTTTTACGGAACATTTCTCTCCGTGCATTTAATTCAAATACAGACTCTTCTCACTGCCGCTAAGTTCACATTGTGTCGAAATTTGTCTGTTTTGTGTTTTTTCGTTTACTCTCGTTCAGTCCTTGAACGTAACATCACTGACACAAGTGGGAAATCGCTTTCGTCAGAACATATTGACGAATACAATGCTTTCATTCGGGAAGCATAGCTCAGACACATTTGCGACGGAGTTGTTTAGCTCGTATGATTGGCAGCCAACTTAACACTCGTGAAAAACCCGTCGCACTTGTATTGAAAATACCATTCGATCATACTTACCTGAAAAAATCACTCAACGAACGATATTTATTGGGAGATCGACTCCTTCAATTCATGTTTTCACCGGTGAATTCACTGATGAATAAAAATCTCATTCCGCCAAAACTTTCTATTGAAACTTCTTTCCTTTCGTAATTTCCATGAAATGTACGAATTTTGTAGAACAATCTATATTTCTGGGGTATAAAAATTACAAGACATATGCGCGCGCTCTCGCGCGCACTGATCTATTCATTTGTTGAAATGAAGAAATGGAATTCATTGAATTTCATTTTCTCATGAATACCTTATAAATATTGATAATGAATCAAAGAGAATTCGACGAATGATTGAAGTGAATAGCGAAATAGAGTAAAAGAATCTATGAAGAATTTTTCATTTTCAATGAATTATCTTCAATTTTTTTTAATAATCGGTCTCCATAAAAGGACAGAATTTATTAATTTCACCGATGATATATACACATGTGAAATACATATATACGTATGACGTGAAAAAAAATTTACCACTGAAGAATTTGAAAATGCCGCGTGTTTTTTTTGTGAATAACTTCGTGTCACATATTGACCAATCAGAATTAAGGATTAGCGGTCAGGCAGTTTCGAGATATTTCGATATAAAACAACTTCACGTTTCTTTCATCTTTAGTAAATAGGAAAATAGAAAATACCTCAGAAATTCCTTGATCTTGAAGGTTTTTCTCTATTGTATACAATTTACAGCCGATTCGCGACCTTTCGCTTTAGTCCAAAGGAAATCGTGGCGAATCGACTGTAAATTGAGTATTTCTATTGTTTCCCAATATTCCATGACCTATAATTTCCTTAGATAATATTTGACAGGAGAAACACTACCGAATAATTTATGTTTAGGAAAAGTTCCAAAGTTTAGGGACCTATTTCCTTACGCAATATCATTACAGCACGATTTTAAGCATTCGGTCATCTGTCTCCAGTTAATTCAATGGAATTACTATGGAAATTTATTCAAATTCTGTTTCGATTTGCTTTAGAAGAAAATTTTTGGAATTTTATATGAAACTAGTGCCCCCGACGTTGACCGGGCGATTTCTCTTCTTTTCCATCTTATTTTTATATTTGGAAATGACGATTTGTTGAAAATTTCAAATCCAGATTTTTGGAATCTAAATGTAATCTTTTTGGATTTTCCCTGAAAACCTGTTTATTCAGCGCCAAATCCCGAGGAATTTTCAATTGATTGAAAATTAAAAAATAAATTACCCTGAATTTTCGTGAGTTCTTCACGGAAAAAAAATTATACGTAAAATTACTGTATAATCTACGATAAACAGGTCAATTTCTGGACGAGTTCAACTTGCATTGAATATTCCAGAAATAAAATGAAAATTGTAGTGATTATTTCACTTTTCAATAATATTACTCGTGTATAATCATGTATTAATTATTTTTTATATTCACCGACATTTAATGAGTGAAAAAAAAAATGGCCCAATCGTCCAGAAATTAGGGGTTTCGACTGCGTACAACTATTTCTTAATTTAATTATTCTGTTTTGTTATTTTCACTTCAAATAATTTTTTTCTGCTAATTAAAACATTCTCGAAGGTGAAGTCATCATATCCCCATTTAGGTGATTCTTTTATTTTAGAAGATCCTACCAGGAAACTCGAATTTCCCTTAACCTTCCAGCAATTGGCCTGCTCACTATATATAGGAAAACACAATGGTATTCCAGGAATTTTTATTTTGAACCAAGGAAGACATGTTGGACCAAGGATGAATTTTACCCTTTGTAATGTAATTTTTCGCAAACGAATAGTAAATGTATGTTTTTTTATAAAAACCTGTATTTTTTATGAATTTATATAGTACACGGTTCAGCAATTCTTATTTTATTTTTCTTGTAATTTGTCGTTGATTTTTTCTCCGTGAAAGAATTTTCATGGAATCATTGAACCGAAATTCACAGTTTCCAGTGATTTTTTCGTCAAATTGTGAATTTCCGAACACAAAGTTCCTCAAAATTTCAATAAAAGTTCTTCATGCTAAACAATTCCAGGAACTGTATTTGAAATTTCAGAGAAAAATTTTTAACAGTGCAGTAGATAATTCGACTGTCGATCTCATCAACAAGACTTCTCCAATATTCACACTTTTAGCCGAATTTTAATAGAAATTGCAGCAGAATTCCGCAGAAAATAGAAATTCTCTGCGAAACGCAAATCACTTCAGTAACGAACCGGTAAACCGGCTTAACTCGATTTAGACTACTGGCCAGTTTTTGACGAATATCTCGGAATCTAAAAGAGATAGAAAATTTTTTGTCTCGAGCTTTTTTGTAGAGTCAACTGAGGGTTATAAAAAAGGTCGTGAGAAAAATTTTGCTATCTCTCTTAGATTCTGAGATATTCATCAAAAACTGGCCAAAAGTCAGAATCGAATTAACTCGGTTTACCGCTTCGCTACTGATTTGCAAAATTACGAGCAAAAGTAAAAGGTTTAAACCCTAAAGGTAAGTAAAGGTTTAAGGCGTAAAGCCTAACGACGAATAATTGATGAACTAAATTCATTGAAAAAAGAATGAAAATTTATTAAAATACTGTGAAGATATTGTTCGCATAAAAACCTTCTACACTCCACATCAAAGTTCATTCAATAAATTTTACGGGCACTTAATGCACACGACGATTCAACGGATGATCCTTTGGACGCCGCTTCTTTGGTATTAACACTTCGGTATTTAAACTTTGGTCATGTCCACCTGCTCCCACCTACAATAAACAGTGCGCTCTGAATTATTATTCGATTGAGTTTCGTAATGATTGTGCGATGATTATGCGGGTATTTACTCAGTTGCAGTTTGACATGCACCGGGTTTCAATCCCTCTCGCCTCTGGGCGATGTACAACTCCTGTCCAGTAATAACGCGATCACTGGGAGGAATAGTTGCCAATGCGTCTCGCACCTCTTCGACTGCACCAAAAACACGGATCAAATTTCTACCCGCGAGTTTCTCGAGGTCTGCGCGGCTCCACTCGGGCTCGTTCTCTCGACGGTCGTACAACCGATTGAAGAGATTCGGGTACTTCGAGACGTCCTCCAGACCCTTCGGAGTACTACAATTATTTTTTAAATCAATTATTCCGTTGAATTAATTTCGTAATTAGTTTGTTGAAGAATTCTGCGTTTACGGTATTTAATGGTAGCTATGAGAGAACTTATAGAAATGATTTGGAAAATTATTTCGAGGGGAATTTCACCTCGGGGAAAAAAACTTGCGTTTTTCGAGAAAAAAACTTAAAAAAAACTTTTTGTTCGCGTCTTTTTCCCTCAGAAATCCGATTTTGTAGGTCAAATTCGTCTCCGACCACTAAAAATTAGAGAGTCGAGTTTTTTCTAATCGAAAAATCAACTTTTGAAAAATTCTCAATGTGTTTTTTTTTCGAAATAGCTTTTTAAATATGATTACAAATTATCGCTCTTTAATTATGAAATATACGGAAGATACATTTTAAAATTGGTCCACCTGAAATCGGGCGTTATTTTCAATGGATCGATTATATTTTCGAAAATAAGTTATAAGTATCAAGTAGAATGGAGATTATGGATTGCTGAGAGGAGCCCTCTCAACTATAGAGTAAAAAAAGGCTAGGTAGAGGCATGGGAACCATAAACATTGAGTTAATAATCGTAAATGAAGTTTATACAGAATATTTGGGAAAGAAAAATTTTTTTCTTCGGATATGAATAAAAATTTTGATAAACGAATAAATTAAAAAATGCATCTTCTCCCGCATTTTTCATAATTAAGAAGCGAAAATTTCAGATCATATTGAAAAAACTATTTCGAAAAAAAATTCGTTGGAAATTTTTGTTAAGTTGATTTTTCGATTCAAAAAATTCGATTATTATCTACAAAATCAGATTCTTGAGGGAAAATTGTGCGGAGAATAGTATTTAAAAATTTTTGTCTCGAAAAACAAAAAAGTTTTTTCCTTTTATCGGCTGATAACATGATGTACCACTTTGTCACTGCTGCTATGCTCACCTCGCGTCGAAAAGTGCCTTTTCGATTACTTGTAAATAAAAAAATGGACTTCGTCTACTCATCAACGAAAAAAGGCACAGTCCTCCTTGAACATAGCATCACTGACAAAAAAATACTTCGACACATGTGCAAGAGAGATTTTTCAACTCATGTGATTGGTCAACTTCAGACGCGTAAAAAACCCATCGCAGTAGTAACGAAATGTACTATTGGGATTATTAGAATGTGGGCATTTCAAGGCTTCCCTATTCATTTCTATCAATTTTCAACTACATGTCTGTATGCATATTTCGGCGAGTGTCCGTACAAATTTATGTCTCAATATTTTAATTCACGATTTCTCAAAAATCGATGATGTGATCAAATTGCTTAAAGACGTGATCGATGAACGGAGAAAAGTGTAGGCCCTTGGGCTGCAATAGAAAGAGACTTGAGTAATGTTAAGAGGTGAGAAAACCCCACAACCTCAGCAACTTCACGTCCCAAAAAATTTAATAGAAAACTTGGTGAATTTGCTTGATTATTTTTCCAACCGAAATATCGGGCAATATGATTGGCCCATTCGACATCACGTGGTACAAGCTACAGGGTTTTCAACTGATAATTTTTTGATAATTTTCTCTGGTAGTTGCTATATAAAAAACAAAACATTATGCAGTCGCATTAACCCCTCGCCAAACTGACAGATTGAATTCAATTGTGGTAATCCGAGGATTTTTATTCGAAATGAGTGTTAATTATACAATTTTCGTTTTTCAATTGTGAGCTTCGTCTCATGGTCCAATTATATTGCCCGACATTTGGATTGGAAAAATAATCCCCCGAATACCACACGAGCTTCAAAATTAATCGGGCATTTTCCTCAAGGTTCCCTGCATACAAACGAAGTCGTCAAGTTTTTCAGGAAAAATCACTCGTGCTTCGTACTCGTGATTTTTTCACCTGAAAAACTTGACTCCTTCGTTTGTTTGCAACCAACCTATCGGAAAATACCCGATAATTTTGAAGCTCTTGTGGTATTACAAATGAGAATTTTCCGGTACTGGATTTTAGCCAATCACAGCGCAGTATTCGAGGTCACGATACTCTTTTGTTATCAAATTTTTTCGGAAAATGCACACTAGCTCCTGGAAATTGCATCTGATAATAATATAGTAGCTATTCATTTATTTCTAACTAATTGGATGTTTTGCTGGAAGAAGCCCTCGACTACTGCGCTCCGCTTGGCCAAAATCCAGCCCCGAAAAATTCTCCGCGGAATACCCCTCGATCTTCAAAATTAATCGCAATATTTCCCTCAAGCTTCCCTGCAAACAAACAAAAGTGTTTGCAGGGAAGTCACTTTCGTTTATTTGCAACGAAGCTATCGGGAAAAATTCCGATAGTTTTGAAGGTGTCAGGGTATTATAACTGAAAATTGTCCTGGATTTCTATTAGTTTTTGGTCGATTCTATTAATGAATTCGGTGGCTTATTTGCACCTTTTTTTAGTAGCTTATCTGTACGTTTTCAATAGAGCAGCTCATACAACTCATTCTATTGAGATATTTTCTATAGAAAATTCTTCGTCTCAAATTTTCTCATTTTTTAAAAAATTTTCTCAATGAAAGGAAAGCAAAAATACAATATAAAAAAGTTGGAAAATTCATGAAAATTAATTCAATTTTGTTAATTTAAAGACAATCGAGAACGTCAATTTCATTGGAATATTGCGAATTAATTAGCAGCGATAATTATGCTCACTTATAAACAATACCTCTATCCTCTTATTTATAACTAGTTCCACGAAATTGTTGATAATAAACTGTTGATAATAATCTCCGCCCGGTAATTCAAAAAAATTTGCAAACTATGTACAAATCCAAGCGATTATTCTCGGCATCTTGATTATCATTATTATCAACTTGCCCTTTCTCCTAGTGATGTTTTATGGTCTGAAGATGATAAAACCTCAGAAAAATTTCTGGCATTAAATGATTAGGGTAATTCATAACATCTAAGGGAACCTTGATCTTTATGCAATTTTTTATCACTTCCACATGCTGAAAAAATGACATTAATTTTATGCTCAGACGGTTCACACTGAGGAGTACATGTTTGCTAATCAGGCAATTATCTAAAAAAACGAGTGATTTCACGAGAATCATTTTTTACAAAAAAAAAAAAGATCTCATTCCATTTCCTCCCGAAATTACTCATTTTGATAATTTCATAATCAACAAAATGGGACAGCGACACGTATTACATATTAACCACTCTGCGCGTATGAAAAAATCGTATAGAAATGTTCTATACGGATTGCGGGCAGAATTTCTATAGGATTTCCGTATATGATATTCGGATATTTGTACACGGAGAAATATTCAATAAAAATTACGTATCTTTTCCGTAATTCCGGAGCGAAATGTGGGTGTAGGAAATTGTACGGAACTGTCACGGAATTTTTTCGGAGCGTTCCGTAATTTTTAATGAATATTTCTCTCCGTGTATACGAATATTTTCTATAAGAATTATTTCTATACATTAATTTTTACATAAATTTTTTTCATACGAAAGATGTCTAAACGCTTCAAAGAAAAACGCAGAGAAATGTCGCAACTCCATACGAAATGTTTCTATACATGTGGCAGTGGGTCTAGGATCAAACCTATAGAAATTATGTAGAAATAATTTGTACAAGAAAATCCGTATAGAAATATCCAAATATCGTATACGAAAATCCTATAGAAATTCTATACGCAATCCGTACAGAAAATTTCTATGTTTTCTTCATACGTGCATGCTTGCTAATCATGCAATTATCTTAAAAACGTGTGATTCTAAGAGGTACTTTTTTTACAAAAAAGATCTCAGTCCTTTTCCTCCCGAAAGCACTCATTTTGGAGATAATTTCATAATTAACAAAATGAAACAAAGAGACTTATTGCATACTGATATACTCTAATAATACAAAATTACTGATAATAATCTAGTAATAAGTAGCCTAAAAATAGTGTGCAAACAGCATACGGAATCCAAGTGATTATCGAATAAGCCCGGAATAAATTTTCTTGTCACCTTAATTATCATTATTGTCACTTACTCACTAATTCCGTCGTAATCACCACCAATTCCAACGTGATCCGGTCCAATTAAATTTCTTATGTAATTTATGTGCTCTGAGAAAGAAAAAATCAAAAATAGAATTCTAAAAATCAAAATTATCTCTGCGTCTCATTTTTTCCTATGTTCATTATCTTGGGGATTGTTTTGTGAAGGTGATAAGATGTGTAAATGGGAAAGAATGGATGAAGAAAACCAAATAATTATACCAAAATTCTATTGGAAGCCCATTATAATTTCTATTTTTTTATTTTTCGCAGATTTCCATCGAAAATTCTGTATTTTTGACTTGAGACTCTTCAATAGCTATTTGACAGTAAGAGAAGTTGATAGGTGCTGATATTTCAATTAAACTTATTCTACAATTGTTTCCTCCGTATGAATTATTGTGCACAAATTTTCTAAATTTATTTTTTATTTTGTAAAATGAGAATTAAAAGAAAACAGCGAAAGATCGTAGGAAATTTACGCGTAAGAATTATATCATGACGAATATGACTTTTCATCACGCTGTGACGAAAAGTGAACTTTTCGACACGCTCCGCATGCCTAAAAGTCCAATTTCCGCCACATTGTTATGAAAAATATTGTTCGTAACTCGTGCAAAAATGTTTTTTGACTCGTCACGAAATATACTATTATAATCTGAGCTGAAAGCGAGGATTATAATCACATGCGTCAGATAATACCTTTTCCGTACTGTCATTCACTTTTCCTCGTCAGGGGATTGGTATTGGTCCTTTCCCAAACTCGTCGAAAATATAATAAAGACAATATGTAATATTCTATTTCGTTGGTAATATTCTATTCGTCCGAGCCGAAGGCGAGGACTGACCAACCACACGAGTAAAAAAACCCCATCGCCGCAGCCCGGGCCAAGATTTTTTTGTAGTGATTTTCAAGTTTTCGAGTTTGGGAAGTATGCACGGAGAGAAATATTCAATAAAAATTACCAGAAAAAAGACGTAAAAAGTAGGTTTCGACACGTAATCTGGGAGCGAAGTAAAATTCAATAAAAAGTGTCAATCGTCACGTAAATTCAACGATCTGTTCCGTAAAAATTATTCATCCGTCCGAGGCCTCACGGCTAGCCATGAGCCATGAGTCACTGTGAGGGGGAGATTTTAACAACACGTTCCGTAAATTTTTCGGAACTTTTCGTAAAAATTCTTAAACATCCAAGAATTTTCATGTTCTGAAGCATAATAAGTCTTGAAGTTTCTGTTAGATTTTACAACTTCCAGAAAAATTACGTGACTTTTTCGTATTTTTTCGGTGACAGACCCGAAAATTTACTGAACGTTTCAAATGTTTTCTCTTATATTCCTATAGAATTTCACTGAAAACGATTCTCGCTTACGGATTACGTGAAATGTTCCGTAATTTTTCTTGAATGTTTCTCTCCGTGTGCAATACCAATTCCTAGACGAGAAATCGTGGGAAGCAGTGCGGAAAAATATCGTTCACGACTAGTGCCATGGGGTTTTTTACTCGTGCGGGTGGCCAGTCTTCGCCTTCGGCTCGGACGCCAACTCCACGCGAGTAAAAAATCCCATGGCACTCGTCCTGAAATTACTATTATCGCCATGCATACAATATTTTTCATCACGCTGTGTGAAAAAGTAACTTTTTCACACATTGTGAAGAAAAATATCGTTCGATACTCATGGGAAAAATGCTATAAACTTCCCACGAGCCAAAAAACACTTTTCCGCACTCGTATCGAAACATTCTATTTTCACACTGCTGCTACGTTCAGCGCATGCTGAAAAGTGTCTTTTCGTTTACGAAACGAAAAACGTAACGGAAAAGTCTTTTCGTTTACTCGTAAACGAAAAGAAAACGACAAGTCTTTTCGTTTACTTGTCAACGAAAAAGGCAGTTCGGCCACTCCCTGAACGTAACATCGCTGTCAAAAAATATTGTTCGACACATCTGAGACGGGAATTTTCAGCTCGTGTGGTTGGCAACTTCACACTCGCGAAAAACCCGTCGCGCTCGTATCGAAATATACTATTTCGCTGCGACGTAGGTGCAAAGTCAGATTTTCTTGCCGCAAAGCGTCCGCCAGGGCGAAAATATCATATTCGAACACTTGAGGCCAAAATTAGTTATCCTGACACAAAAAATTAGAAAATTCGGATTTGACAAATACAATTGCTTCCATTCGTACGAAAAAAATTACCAGTCCATTTAAATATCCTCATATCACTATGTCAGGAATAAAAACTCACCAACTACATCCTCAATCGTGGTTTCCTTCGTCTCATTACAGTTGACGAAATTATTGTAGAAATTGACCATCACAATTCCGTTATTTTTTTTCTGAAAAATGAAGGAAAAATTGAATGATTGCGATCGAAACGAACAGAATCGGATTTCTACTTAGAAGGAATATTGCTGGATTATTCAATAATTAGTTGTGTGAAGTACGTACAACCATGTGAAGGACATCGTCAGGTACATTCCTGTAATGATCGCAGACACTGAAAGATGATGAATGTGAAAAAATAACTGGTGCTTTTGTTGTAGCGAGTACCTCTCTCATGACATTGTGTGACACGTGCGACAGGTCAACCATCATACCCAAGCGATTCATTTCGTGTACGATTGTCTGCGAGAAAAAAATTTCGATGTTGATTATTCGACAACTCAGCAGCAAAGCGGTAAACCGGGTTAAGTCGGTTTTGACTTGTGACCAGTTTTTGATGAATATCTCGAAATCTAAGACAGATAACACAATTTTTGTTACGACCTTTTTTAAAAAACTCAATTGGCTCTACAAAAAAGGCGGTGACAAAAATTTCTCTATCGCTTTTAGATTCCGAGATATTCATCAATAACTGGACAATAGTCAAAATTGACTTAATCCGGTTTACCGCTTCGCTACTGAATTGCTCTGTAATAATTCACTTGTGAAATTTCAAAGTAATTTACGTCGAATGGGAAATCCCCATAATTGCGTGAGCAATTATTCCAAGAGCAAGTGATTTTAGAACGGAATAACAAGAGAAGTTCGTAATTGAGAAACTTTTCTGTTAAAATGGGATCTGGGAATCCTACACTGAGGAAAAAAATTTCTAAGAAATAGAAATTCTATGATTGATCCAAATCGTTCATCGATTGAATAGTCGGAAAAGAAAATGCTATTGTAAGACACAAATATTGATTTAATTTTAATGTTTTCGATTGAAAAAGAATGAGATCAGTTATCTAAACTTTTTTTTTGCCACTATCTACTTTTCAGTACATACAAATCAATGTCTGTATTATCAGATATCTTCTTCGAATACAACATGTAATTATCCAATTTATCAGCGTCACGATATCCCACAAAAGAATATCTGTTCGATTGAAAGCAGAATTCATAGATGCAATAAAATATTCATTTGGTCTATGAGGAACATATTGTTGGATACTCATTGATGCGAGACTTTCGCGGTGAGCAGTTTCTTATTTACGACAAACGCAATTCTTCATCATTTGAACTGATTATTTTTCCATTGCAATTGTGAAAAAAAAATTATTTGCGCCAAATCCAAAGCGTTTGAACTAAATCAAAATTGAATTATATGAAATCAATTTGTCGCAACAACATGTATTTTCTAAATTCGATAGAATAAACAAAATATACTAGACTATAACAAAATCGATTTCATACAATCCAATTTTGGTTTAGTTGAAATCGATATTTGTGTCTTACAATAGCATTTTCTTTTGCGACTATTCAATCGATGAACGATTTGGATCAATAATAGAATTTCTATTTCTTAGAAATTTTTTTTCTCAGTGTACAAATCGCTCGTCAGAAAGATAACTACCGATTCGTGGAGGTGTCATATTTTTATTAACGAATAATTGTGACGATTCACTAGGAAAATGATGAAACGTTGAAATGTCTCAACGTGTCATTACTTTTCTAGTGAATTGTTCAATTCATTTGATGAATGTGTCAATTACCTTTCCAAAATCTGTTAGATTGTAGACGGAGCCTTCATTAACAGTAGAGGCATCGGCCCTAGGATGAGAAAAAAAGGAGATAGTTGAATGCAAACTATTTTTGAGGCTTTCACGCCCATTATTACTCATATAATTGGCATCCATCTGGAAGCCAATAATGTCAGTTGAATTCAACGGAAGAAAAAATCGAAATTCTCCTCATTTTATGATCCACCAAAATGTGTACCAAAAACCCTATTCCATTTGTCACCGAAATTTATTGGGATTTTATTAGAAATTCTATTCGTTTTCCGTAGATTTCTATCAATAATTAGGTTCTTCATGAAAAGGTAGAAAAATCTATGGATGTTGATTTTTCTGTAAAATTCATTGATTGGCAGTCGCCTTTTCTTCTTAAGAAAAATTTTTAGTCATGAATTTTTTATTTTGATTGTTCTTTGTTTGTAATGAAAAATGCTCAGAAAAAACTTCATAAAATTGATGTCCAAGAATTTCTATCGAAAAAATCTCAAGAGAACATGTTATACAGAAGAATCAGAATCTATTCATTTTTTTTCTATTAAACATTGCGAAATCTTCAATAGATAATCGGCAGAAAACATGAAATTTTAATGGGAATTCAAGAGAAGTAGCGAAAGTGTTCAAGTTTTTCAGCCGTCTATCCGCCAGAAAAATTCATTGGGAATTTATTTGAAATCCTAATTGATTTCCGACAATTTCTATTGATGATTCTATAATTTCTTGATAGATCCATCAAAAAAACAAAATACGTTCATTTTTCTGTAAAGGTCATTTGTTTTCAGTTTCTTTTTTTTTTTTAAATTTTAGTCATAAAATTTCTATTTTGATTTTCCTTTTTTTATAATTAAAAACGCTAAAAAAGAAGAGAAAAAAACTTTATTAGATTGAAAAACTTTAAATCTCCGAAGAATATCTCAGAGAAAAATCAGAATCTATTCATTTTTTCCATCAAATATTTCCAAAATCTGCAATAAAAAATCGGCGTAGAATATAGAATGGTTTTTCTATTCAGTTTTTCCATACGTGTTTAGATGTCATTTCAGTCAACAATTTTTTCATTCCCTCATCTTCAATTACTACTCACCAGGGAGTATTACACGTGTGCGTTAAGGTAACATAACGGACGCCCAACTCATAATAAAGCCGAAGAACACCAAGACTCGAATCAAACAGGTGTCCGCCCTCAATCCCGATCATCGATGCTATTTTTCCGCTCTTCCAGACAGGTTCAATATTGCCGGCTTCCGTCACAAACTCGAGATTATTCGGGTACTTTTTAACGAGTCTTTTTATAACGTCAATCTGTCGTAGTGTGAGTTGAATCGCATCCTTGTATTGAGAATCACAACTGACGTAAGCTGCCCAGAACTGGAAGAGAATTCTTATACTTTTTTTAAATACCTAATTTGCATGAAAACTTTAAAAACGTGAAAATTAAATTTCTCCAATTTTTTTTTTTAATTTTATGACTAAAATAATTTAATTAGTTGAGTTCAATCTTGAAATTGAGCGTGCAAAGTGAGTGAACTTGAATTGCTTGTCTATGCATTGAAAATTTAGTATGACTGTTCATGTTTAGTAATACTGTTCATAGTGAATATTCCAGCGATTGAGATTTTAGATTATGTTATTCTATGACAAAATATGAAAATCAAATGATACATGTTATTTTTCTATCTGAACCAATCATGCAAAATATGATACTTTCGATAGCACGCTTTTCGATCGACGTACCAAATCTCCGCGACAAAATTTCCGCAGCAAAACTCCCAAATGAAAAGAAAACTGAAGACAATTTTTCCAGCGACAATTGCATTGTTGACACCTCATCTGCCGCCAATTTATTCTTGGTACATTATATCCGTTGGTAAATTATCCGATACTTCATATGCTTACAATTTTGGATGATAAACAGTGAGTAGTGAGGATTCCCGATAACCCCTCTCTTTTCGATTCCAATTAAATTCACTACTTCACAATGTTTCCCCATTTGTATTATCACCGATAGCTGCGTTACCTCACACGGCGAGAAATATTCACTTGTAATACCACAAGAGCTTCAAAATTATCGGGTATTTTCCGATAGGTTCGTCGCAAACAAACGAAGCAGTCAAGTTTTTCAGGTTTCCTGAAAAACTTGACGACTTCGTTCGTATGCAGGGAACCTTGAGGAAAGTGCCCGATTAATTTTGAAGCCCGTGTGGTATTCGGGGGATTATTTTTCCAACCCAAATGTCGGGCAATATAATTGGACCATGAGACGAAACTCACAATTGAGAAACGAAAATTGTATAATTAACACTCATTTCGAATAAAAATCCTCGGATTACCACAATTGAATTCAATCTGTCAGTTTGACGAGGGGTTAATTCGACTGCATGATGTTTTGTTTTTTATATAGCAACTACCAGAGAAAATTATCAAAAAATTATCAGTTGAAAACCCTGTAGCTTGTACCACGTGATGTCGAATGGGCCAATTATATTGCCCGATATTTGGGTTGGAAAAATAATCAGTAAAAATTACGTATCTTTTCCGTAATTCCGGAGCGAAATGTGGTTGTAGGAAATTTTGCGGAACTGTCACGGAATTTTTCCAGAGCGTTCCGTAATTTTTATCTGAATCTCCTGTGACAAATTACTATACTGTCACTTAAATTTTCTGAGTCGGTTCCATAATCGGTGAGCTAATTGTGAGTTCCGTAATTTTTACTGAACATTTCTCTCCGTGTGCACACGAAATTGGCATTTAATTGACTATTATAAAATTCGCTTTTAATTCAATATTATAAAATTTGCATTTAATTTGATTTTAAATCAGTATTATTTGTAATTTTGTGTTCATTCAGTGTCAGAGAATGGTTACAATGTATATTTTAATCGTAACAGCGGGCTTCTATGAACCGAGCGGAATTTGTTTGCTGGAGTGGCAGAAGCATTGTAATTGTAAAATGTGAGTTATCGAATTGAAAATTGCGAATTAAATGTTATCTCTGAATTCTGAGTTACTTTTTTTTGCACTTGATATTCTTTCAGAAGAGGACGAAAGCTGTATGAAACCTTCGACAAATTTGTCCGTGGTTTATTTTGTACCTCGGGAATAATGAATATGGGGGAATTGTCGGTGGAAAAGTTGTCAATGGATAAATTGTCGTCGGTTGTTTTGTCGCGGAAATTTTGTCGCAGAAATTTTGTCCGCGGATCGAAAGCTACGGAACCGATATTTTCATCCCATTTTCATATTTCATGATTTTTTTTACTGGAAAAAAGTATGTAACAGTCCGAATTCGCGCTTAAAATTGAAATTGAAACGTATCGAATTGCGATGTTAGAGTATCTGACCCATGTGACTCACTTGTCCTCCAATTTTCCCCTTAGCCAATCGTGGCAAATCTGTTTGACAAGTGCCGCAGACTCCTGTTCCCATTATTGGATCATCTCGTAGGTCTTGATCGAAATGAAATGCACTGAGATTGTTCGCATGTTTCAAGTACAGATTCCAAGCCAGATCATTGTGCCTGAAAAATGTTACTAGAATTTCTCAAATACGAAATTAATTTAATTTCAGGATGTTTATCCAAAATCGCAAGTACTCAAAAAAAAATTTGATTTTTTTTTTAACTTAGAGATGAAGATATTCCCTTCATTTTGATAAAAATTTCAATCCACCAACCCATGTTCATTATTTAGAAATAAAATAGACAAAATGTACCAAATGCATGCGCTAACATGCGCTTATATGGGATAGAATCATTCAAATATTTCCTCTTTTTGCCCGGGTACCCCAGATTTTTCTCTGGCCATTGGATTCAGTATGATTTTACACATTACCTTCTATTTTTATTTCTATTTTTAGAGTCTTCTAGTAGGTGAATTATCAATTTGAACATAAATTTCATAAGAGCCCGTGTATAAGGAAAAATTAGTTTATTTATTTCTGCCAAGACTATTGCGATTAATTTTTTTTCAACGTTAGAAAAGTTGGTTTTATATGTTCTGCTGTCAGCCGAAAAAATTACAGAATTTGCCTTGAACATGAAAAAAAAAACATTTACCGACAATTTACCGACACTGGCTAAACATCCTTAATATTTCTAGTAGAAATCATGGAAATCACGAAATGCCAAAAGAAATCATGATATCTAATTCTTATTGAGAAATCACAGAAATCATTCACGAAATCAGAGGAAATCATCCCATTCTGGAAATCACTGAGCCACCCCATTGAGGAGTGACCAGCCCCTCGGGAATTCTTGTTTCGTTTGCACGACCAACACTTTCATTGTCAATTCGAGTGTACAGAAAATTGATCTCAACACGGAGAGAAATTTTTGATAAAAATTACCCTACCGTTCTATAAAGATGTATCATCAGTAATCGTTTCCTCATTTCTGTCCCGAAATTTAGGAAAAATTAATATATGATGATCAAATTTTATTCTGCGTTAGAGAAATTTTATCCTGACGCATAATACATTTTACCCTTCCAGTCTAATAATTTTTATGTAGATATCAACGAAAATTCTAGAACGGTTGGTAAATTTTACCCTACCGGTACAGTAATTTTTACTCTACCGACACGGTAATTTTTATTGTTTTCAGGATAAAATTTCTCTAACGTAGAATAAAATTTGATCATCATATATTAATTTTTGCTAAATTTCGGGATAGAAATGAGGAAACGATGACTCATGATACACTTTTATAGGACGGTAGGATAATTTTTATCAAAAATTTCTCTCCGTGAAGTGTTGTCCTCTTTGTGCAAGATTTTATGCAATCAAAGTCCTGATGAAAAAAATTCAAGATATAACGCAAAATACATGAATTCATGGGAAGGCTATCATTCTGGTCTTGAGAACGCTTAAAAATTCTCTCGGGACAAGAGAATCTCATCTGTTGGAAAACTTTGTTCTCTCAGTCTGAGAGCGAAATTATTCATCAGATTTCACAATTTTTAAAATTGTCAAGGGAATATTTTCTTGTATCAAGTAAACCTTCCTTGTCAAAAGTAGTTTTTTCTCTCAGTGTATTCGCCTCATAGGCCTCACATTAAAACTCACTATGAGGTCAGAATAAGGGCAAAAAAGTCGACTCCACTGTTGAAGATTTCTCGAAAATTCAGTTGCAGCATCATCTGAATTCTCAATGTCATCAGTTTGAATTTAATTTTAAATGAAAATGTTCATAAAATTTCTGATTCATCTTAAAAATTCAAGAAAATTGTTTTTTTCATGTTAACCCGCGACCACATGCGCTCGGCCGCAGGCCTTCATCCATCGCACGGTTAGCGCATCGCCGCTGAGTTAACCCGAGCGCGTTGTTGCCACCTTGGCGCTTACCGCTATATGCGTATTCTAAATGTGACAGTGAGTGTAGCAACACTGTCGCTCGAGGCGGCGACAGGAACTCACACCGGGCGGCGCGGCGCCGCTTCTTTGTTCGTTCGACGTTTCACTCCTTTTTTTAGCTAAACAAATTCACCGAGAAAAAAACAGACAGCGCCGACGCTTAATAAAAGGATTGAACTGGAAACTCTAATTTTCTCAGCATTTTTAAGCGCCGAAAAATACGCTAAAATATTTTTAAAAAAAGGAAAACGGGCAGCGCCGCGCTCATTGAGCGAGTGATTGAGGGTTAAGGATGTTTAGCCAAAACCCACATTATTCACCATAATTTTGATATTGTCTCATATGCCAGGTTCAACTTTGAGCCACACATTAGTAATCTTAATCATTCCATCGGGGCATCCTAGTGAGAAATTAATTTCTGAAAATCACTTCTTGTAACATTACGCTTAGGGAAGAAACGTGACCGTGTGAACTTTGATCGAGATGTTGCATGGATTAGACATGTCATTCAAGATATTGAAAAAAAACCACAAGCCATTTACTTTAGACTATGGAGAATCTATCGCGGGCGAGAACAAGTAGGCGACCGGGCCATATAGACGTGATACCTTCGAGTGATTTTGGAATTCCTGTAAAAAAAATTTGACCGCCATTACGAGTCGAGCAACGCGACAACACCGCGCAACGGCTGATCGAGGTCGGTAAAGTCGGTGACGATAATTCAGTGCTGGAAGCATATGGACACGTATAACACACACAACATTCATCTCACTGTTACAACCCCACTACCAGCCGAAGCGTGCGATGTTGCCCGATCAAAATTCGACTGTTACCACTGCAGTCACAAGTCATCCATTATTTATGAACATTTTCTTTAATTATTATTTTTGAGACCGCAAAAGTACGCCATAACATTTCTAATTTGATGAGAAAAATAATTTGTAACATGAATGATTTATTTAGTCAATTGTATTTTTCTTTTCAACTGACTTGTCCACTTCATAGTAGGTTAAACGTCCTTAAGCGATCATTGATATTTCAATGAAAGCTTGAATTTTTAAACTCATTGCAAAAAATGAACATTAGATACATTTGAATTTTGAATAGACGGAGAATTCAGGAAAGTTCTTGCCTGAAATTTTCCAATTTTCAACATTTTTCGGTGTCGTAGGGACCGTGAAATCGAGAATAACTTGAATATTTAAGAAATTAATTAGCTTTTTCACTTGAAATTTCAAATGTAATTTTCTAACAGTGTCGGGCTAAGCCTAAATAACACGGCGGCGAATCTTCGCGGAGGTGACCAAGTCGCAGGGTCACCTATTGTGACCAGACTAGGATTGAAATTGTCACTTACCCATCGATTAAAGGTACATCCTTCAGCACATCACTCCCCTGGAACGGTTGAACACTCAAGCCCCACGAGAACCCAATGACCAGAGCCAACCCCAGAGAAGCTGCCCCGAACCCCACAAACACCATCTTCCCTAAAATCCCTGCAACGAAAATCGAAAAGGTCTGAATGGATATCCGTTCGCCTCCAACTAAAGCCGATTTATACTGACTTATAACAGACAAGATCATTAGATAACAAAACTAATTATGCGTATAGAATACAATGAAGAACATTGAGTCACTGCCACACAGCAGTTTCATTGAGACATATTGATTCAAAAAATGTAAATAATTCAGTCTTTGAAATCGTTCTGTCACTCACGACAGTGTCAATCGCTTTATCATCGCCTTCGATCATTACAAAGTGTCTACTCCAATATAAATTCGAACCGGTAGTAATTTTGACTCTCTGTTACCCATTTTTAGGAATCCTTCCACTCCTAAATAGATCGCGAACTACAGCACAAGTACAATATTATGTAAGTTATTCAAACGATTTGCGTGAAGATCTTTATTTTGTGATATATCACGGGTATCAGAATTATCGTGCACATCGTACGTCGAACAAAACGAATATCATGGATTACTAAGCTTTATATAGTGGTTATGCACTATTCTGCAAGTCATTTCTAAACGTTCCTCACCACGAGAATTCGCCAAATGAATTTACGTGTGGATGTAAAAAACACGTGAATTGATGTTTGATTTCTTGTATACAAAGGGAAGATATGGAATATTACAAAGTTCTCTTTGTAAATAGTCTGTATGATAGCGAGCGAATTTTTGCATCGATTTCCTCCACAATTCCCTTTTAATTTTTTTTCAGTTGCCTGAAACAATCGCTCTTAAGCAATTTATGGCGTTGTCGTGAGAGAAAAAAAAGTCAAGATCTTGATAATTTTTTGTAAAAACGTCCTTTTATGTATTAAGAAATCACGTGCAAAATTTCAGATAGCCTAGGAGAAAGACAGCAACAGAAATAATTTTTTCATCACGCTGTGACGAAAAGTGAACTGTTCGGCACGCTCCGCGTGCCTAAAAGTCCAATTTCCGCCACATTGTGATGAAAAATATTGTTCGTAACTCGTGAAAAAATGTTTTTTAGCTCGTGGGATTATATCACTCGCCTTCGGCTCGTGATATAAACCTCCCACTCGCCAAAAAACACTTTTTTGCACTCGTTACGAAATATACTATTATGCATGAGGTTAAATGGGCCATCGATAATTTCAGCGTTTTCCCTACATTATCGACCTGTCGGCAACATGGGAACACTACTAAAATTATCGATGCCCCATTCAACTGCCTGCCTAAATAGCAACTTCAGAAATTATTCCCGTTGTTGTCCTTCTCCTAGGCTATCTGAGATTTTGCACGTGATTTCTTAATACATAAAAGAAAGTATTTACAAAAAATTATCAATATTTTGACTTTTTTTTCTCTCGAGACAATGCTATAAATTCCTTAAGGTGTTTCGTGTGTAGATCACCGGGGGAGTGGAACCGAACGAGAGTCTTATTGCTCTCGAGCCCTGATTCAATCGCTGAGCACGAAATTTTCCAATTTTCAAGTAACTATTTAAGTGTGCATTTGAACATTTTTTGAATATTCATTTTATTTATCAGATTGATTGATTTTTTCTCATCACCTACGGACGTCAAAGAATTTTTATTGGATGTTTTTCTAATTATTGAAATAATATTAAATGCGTCTCGAGTTGGTAAACCTGTCGAGTGTTTTCTCTCTTTCAGTTCCATGGTCCAACCCATACCTTTCCCATGATGCTCACTGACATTCGAATCACTCGCCTGCGCGTGAAGGCGTAATTGCCCCGAAACTCATATTTTTCCGAAGCATTGGTTCAAATAACTTTCTTATGAAATCTGAAAAAAAATATGAAACTTATACGTGTTCTCAAGAAAGATTTGATTTATCACCCACTAGTTTCTCCTCAATAGGTCATTATTTTTTTGGGTGCCATGGAAATTTCCCCAGTTGAGAGTGGGGTTACCCTCGGAGTTTATAGCTGGAGGGGGTACAAAAACATCCAAATTTCATTTTTTTTTTCTTGAGACTGAGATCTGAAAAAAATGTGCAAAAATTCTCAATAATGTAGCATACTGAGACATTTCTCCCATGAATTTTCTATTTTTTTTTTCATTGTTTTGACCTTTGACACGAAATACCTTAAATCCATGAACTACACATGAGGTAAATCTCCGAAGCAGCCGTACTGTTTGAGGTATTTTCTTCGGAAAGATGAATAATTGCTGGATTTGAGTGAAATTTTCACGTATTCTAAAAGAATTTTCTCTGCAAATTAGGGAAAAAGTTCTACATTTTGGTAATTTTTACTGAAATCCAGTAAAAAAAATTCCTCTCATTAGGAAAGGAAGCGCGCATGAATTGGCTAATGGTTTATACATATTATTCATGATTGTTATGTATTTATTTGTTCTTAATTCTTATTTATTCTTATGCTTCCAAATGGAAGCTTTTGTTGAATTCATTTACTTACTCTTTAATCTGATGTCACAATTTTTTTAGGTACATAATAAAAAAAAAGTTATTATAATTTTTCAAACTAAGACAAACTATCGCCCTTTGGGACAGTCAAAGAACATGAAAAACCCTTCAAAATGAGACGTCATACATAACATTATCTTCAGTTTGGCGGGGTTTATACGAGAAAACGTTTATTATATTTATCATTAATGATTCAATGAGCTAATGTTTTTTTAATCTGAAATTTTCCCGAAAAATAGCGATTTTCGGTCATTTTTAAGGCTTGTCTCACTGAAAAATTCTAATTAGCGCCGAAAGTTATTTTATTTTATTGACAATTTTTTGCGAAAATTTTAGATTAAAAAAAATAGATTTTTTCGTAATTACACACACGAAAAAAGTTAATAGAAAAACCTATCGAATTCTTTAGAAAATTCTATTGAATGTCTATTAAACTTTCTATTAGTTTTTGGCTGATTCTATTGACATGTTCAATAGAAAACATTCAATAGAAAACGTCAACAGAATTCGATTTTTCTATATAACTTATTCTTTTCATATATTTTCTATAAGTTTTTTTCATTTTGTTTGTATTTTCTTCTCATCACGAAAACCAATAAACGAAAATTCGAGCCGAGGAAATTCTGTAGAAAATATTTCAATAGAATAAGTTATACAGAAAAATTGAATTCTATTGACTTTTTCTACTGAAGATTTTCTATTGAACATTTTAATAGAATCGGCCAAAAACTAATAGAACAGTTCAATAGAAATTCAATAGAATTTTCTCACGAATTCGATAGGTTTTTCTATTAAGTTTTTTCGTCCGTGTAACAATTGAAAAAAATATGTTTTCTCATACAAACCCCGTCCAACGGAAGATAACGCTATGTATGACGCCTCATTTTGAAAGGGTTTTGATGTACTTTGAGTGTGCCAGTGCGATTTGGTAGCTTAAAACCCCGCAGGAATATTGAGGCCAATTTGGCAACAAAAAAGTTGGACAAAAACTAGCCATTTTCAAAAAACCGTAACTCCCTCAATTATCAATATTTTTCAATTTTTCCTTTTTCAAAATTTTTATCTAATCGTCATCTTTTCAGAAAAAAAACACCTCCATTGAGACAAAAATTCTCCAGGGTAAAAATGAATGTATTTTCCATCATTCAAGGTATTTCCATGAATGAAATTACACAGTCCTTGTAAAAAATTCCTGTATTTTTATGGCTTCTATTGGACTACGAGGATACGCTAGTATTGAATGACTCATATCGTAATTATCACAATTATTTGAGGTAGCATCACATATATGAATATGTTCTGTCGTTTCCTCGAATAGTTCCAGCACCGCAAGACTGATTCTATCAATGTTAATGTCTCTAACAGATGATATAATCCCCAGTATAATGCTCCTTTCGAATAATGAATGGATCAATATTCAATTATCTACATAGAAACTGTAAAAAAGACAATCAGTTGTGTAGAAGAAAGGGATAATAAAGAATAATGGGGATGATAACATTCAACTAAGTTGAAAATCTGACGAAATTAGTTAAAAGAAAATCTTATGCAATTGAATAAAATGAGGTAAACAGTGAATTAAACATGATAGAAGGAAAGGATGTGCAATAACTAATTATGCTAATTTATTATCAAAAATAACTACACTATATCCAATACGAGAGCAATTCCTCACTTGTTTTTTTTCTTTTCATCAAGAAGATCAAACAAAAAAGCTCGGAAAATGTGAGCCGCGGAAATTCTACACAAAATATCTCAATAGAATAAGTTTTTTTTTTTTATATGTCTCAATAGAATAAGTTGCATTGAAAAATCGAATTCTTTTGACTTTTTCTAAATATTTTTTATTCCAAATTTCAAAAGAATCGGCGAAAAACTAATCGACCGTTCAATAGACATCCAATAGAATTGTCTACCGAATTCGCTAGATTTTTGTAGTAAATTTTTCCACCCGTGTTTTGATGGCCATAAAAGTGGAATTATGACTTGTATGGATGAACTATAATATTCAGAACGGAAATAAAATAGAGGAAAATTTCTGGAATAGAAGAATCTACCCTCACTATTTCAGAATAAAATAGTTAATCTTTACCTTTCCTCGGCGAATGTCACTACAAATGATCCGAACAGCGTTGACTCGGTGGGAGGAAACGTGATGCTCTTTGAGCTGTCCGTCTGTCCCACAATCTGACTGCTGTGATGGTCAATCAAACAAATGCGGGAAGCCCATCACACTTATCTCACAACCAAAGCTCCTGCACGGTAGAGTGGACGAATACAACGCAATTGGTTCGGTTATCATCACTTTTGTAAGTATTTATATGAAATGGTGGGAACCTCGAATGATAGGAGATAATAGATTCTGTCTGGTGGCAATAATCCACAGATATTATTGAAAATAAAAATTTCATTGTGAAATGTTGTACCTCGTTGAGTAACAAAATATAAAATTTCGTCATACAGTGATAATTCTACTTGATGAGTGGACTGAACACAATAGAGATTAATTTATGACTGAAACTGCGTATATTTCCTTTGCCCAAGGAGTTCATTTATCGGTAATTGTAATTTTTTCTTGGAGAACAACGTTAATTTTTCCCAGAAATTATAACTTTGATGAGTACAAGAAATTGATCCATCAAATTCTTTCTTTAATTATTTTTTTGAACAATAGTCTTTCGATGCCTAGGATGATTCGACGTAATACGCCATTTCAGGCAGAGACACAACTTATGTATTATAAAAGTTTGACACTGACGATAATTTCTATGTTGGGCGCTGGATTTTTATTCGTTTTTTCTGATTTTTTGAGATTTTTTCTAGATTTTAATCTTCTCCCTAATTAATCGAAATTTTTCCACTTTTAGATTAATTATTATCAATAATACTAGATTGTCAATTGAGCAGAAACCCAACTAGAATCTTTATATTCATATTAACTTTCGTTTAAAATTTATTTCAGAATTTAATCTTCAAAGTTCAAGTTATGTTTATACGACTTTAAGATTCCGTATCTTTTTTACCGCGCGCGGAATTTTTTAACCTGCAAAACTTGACACCCTCATTTGTTTACAACGAAGTTATTGGGATATACCTGATAATTTTGAAGCTCTTGGAGTATTACTACCGATAAATTTTCCTCTAAATGAGATATTTTCATTCTGACGCCTCTTGAGCCAAGTATTTCACTGCTGTCGAATGTACACGGACGAAAAAATTTAATAGAAAAATCTATCGAATTCGTTAGAAAATTCTATTGAATTTCTGTTGAACTGTTGTATTAGTTTTTGGCCGATTCTATTGAAATGTTCAATAGAAAATATTCAGTAGAAAAAGTCAATAGAATTCAATTTTTCTATATAATTTATTCTATTGAGATATTTTCTGTAGAATTTCCTCGGCTCAAATTTTCTAAGTTTTTTCGTTTGATTTTCTTGATGAGAAAACAAGAAAAATAGAATGAAAAAACTTGAAAAATTTGAGTCGAGCAAATTCTATGGAAAATATATGAAAAGAATAAGTTATGTAGAAAAATCGAATTCTGTTGACTTTTTCTATTGAATGTTTTCTATTGAACATGTCAATAGAATCAGCTAAAAACTAATAGAAAGTTTAATAGAAATTTAATAGAATTTTCTGACGAATTCTATAGGTTTTTCTATTAAATTTTTTCGTGCGTGTAGAGCAATTATTCATGTTTGAAACTTTCAAATTCGAATCAATAGAATTCAATTTTTCTACATAATTTATTCTATTGAGATATTTTCTATAGAATTTCCTCGGCTCAAATTTTCTAAGTTTTTTCGTTTAATTTTCTTGATGAGAAAAAAAGAAAAATAGAATGAAAAAAACTTGAAAAATTTGAGTCGAACAAATTCTATGGAAAATATATGAAAAGAATAAGTTATATAGAAAAATCGAATTCTGTTGACTGTTTCTATTGAATGTTTTCTATTGAACATGTCAATAGAATCAGCCAAAAACTAATAGAAAGTTTAATAGAAATTCAATAGAATTTTCTAACGAATTCGATAGGTTCTTCTATTAAATTTTTTCGTGCGTGTAGAGCAATTATTCATGTTTGAAACTTTAAAATTCGAATCAAACAATTTTTTTACAATTTCCAAGTAGTGATTGTGTTGGTCTCAACAAGACTTGTTTGAAAACGTTTGTTTTTCTCTCAGTGTAAGAAGGGGATATAGCCATCAATTAAGAATAGAGTAGAGTCCCAATTCTACTCTAATCCTGGTCCCCTCCTACCTCATCCAAATCCCATCCAATCATTTCCTATGACGTCACAAAGATGTAGAACGCTATATAAATTCCTTTCCTTAAAGTAAAAAAGTCGAAAATCAACAACATTCCTCATCCCGTCATCCGACACGGAAAATCCAACTTTCCGCGAAGACATGACAAAAAAACTCACTCTTTACGGAAACTCCATTAAAAACAAATTCTTCCTTTATTCAACAACGAAATACATGATCGGTACAGTACAATGAAAAATATTCAACAGGTATTTTACAAAACATTTGACTTATATTTATAAAACAAAATGAAAAATCGATAGCTTCATCTGAAACTAATACTCTCCGCACAGAATGAATGAATCGATAAAATGTACAGTGAATTAATCAAAACCTTATCATTAATGATCAGAGCAGATAATCATCAGTCATCTCACTCGCATTCCACCCTTGGTCTCCACTCTTTCCCGCAGCCCCCCCCCCCCCTTTTATGCCTCAATNTACAGTACAATGAAAAATATTCAACAGGTATTTTACAAAACATTTGACTTATATTTATAAAACAAAATGAAAAATCGATAGCTTCATCTGAAACTAATACTCTCCGCACAGAATGAATGAATCGATAAAATGTACAGTGAATTAATCAAGACCTTATCATTAATGATCAGAGCAGATAATCATCAGTCATCTCACTCGCATTCCACCCTTTGTCTCCACTCTTCCCCGCAGCCGCCCCTTTTTATGCCTCAATTGCCAATGAATCGCAGATTGTCCCTCGATGATAAAAAAAGAAGATAAAAATTCATCAATCAATGTATGTCAAGTGATCACTGAATTCCGAGATCCTATCTATTCCTATCTATAAAAGACGAAAGTTTCGTGACGTTCTTTCGTATCAAAATATATCGAAACTGCCTGGCCTCTAATCTCCAATTCTGACAGGTCAATGAGTCCACTTAAGTTAGTCGCTAAAAAACCCGCGGTATTCTCAAATTCTTCAAACTCGCAAATTAGTCCTCGTGTCATAATTGTCACTTTTCTCATGTTCATTCATCATTTACTTTCCTGAATCTCATCAATTTTGAATCGTTCCATTTTCCTCTTTTCGCGAATGGCATAAATTTGATTATCTTCAATTTTTTTCAACTTGGCTATAAATTCTAAATTCCAGAAAACAGAAAATTCCTAGCTTTTTTTAATTCTAGGAAGATGTCCATTTTGTTCTTCGTTCGAGAAAACTGTCGAAAATTATTCAGTTGTGTAGAGAATTCTCTGATTTTCCAAATAATTTAAGAACATATTTCGCTTTTTTACAAAATCCATTCATAAAACTTCCCTTATTTAAAAAAAATCACGGGTATTGATCAAAGATTCAAAATTATTCATTCATTTTTCACGCATCATGCATCATTGATTGATATTTTTTCTCTATGTATTATCCATTTTCATAATGCATTTATGAATGAATAAAATTTAATCCATTTGAAATCCGAATGAAGCACAAGCAAATGAGTCGATAGATCAGCGCACGCCTCCTGTCTACTATTTTATAATTATTCTCCAGTCAACGACTCATCAAGGTGAACAAATAAACTATAATTGGTACGATAATATTCGAAACGCGGAAAATAGCTTATAAACAGTTACCTTCAACCGCTCGGAATTTCATTTCCTAACAGATTGATTTTCAGCAAAAACATTAACTGATACTTCAAGGGTATGATTGAAAAACTGACTCACGACAGTAACGAGCTCCAGTTATTGAACAATCACCGTGATCAGAACAAAAAAATAAAAACAAACACAATAGATAGCGAAAAGCAATGGATTGAGACCAGTGGCTCAAGGTCGGAAATTTGATTTTTCGCGTTAGCCTCTCGAACCTGATATTAATCCCCGAAGATAAAATTCCCTCGATAGGTGTCAGAAGAATTATTGGTCCCGACGAAATCATTTGACGATAAGATAAAATACTCATCTAACAGAAGTCCTCAGAAGTCGTTTAACAGCTTCTTCTCAAGGTTAATTTCCATCAACTCATTGAGTTTACCCAATTTGTTCATGACAGTGCACGATATTTTTTGCAAGTCTACCAAGACATTACGCAATTCCACGTAAAGCAACAGATGCTGTTATTCTTCGTGACTGCTCTTATCATCTTGTTTTGCTCGTCTAAATCGCGATGTTCACCTTAATCCATTGATCCATCCTCTCGACACAGTAAAAAAAAATCCAATATTATTATTTACTTGTCGAATCGTGGGGATGAGCTACCGTCATAAACTGATAAAATCCTGATCATTATCAGCGCGACCGGAATTAACGTAATCAGAATAAATGCCCGAGGAATTACAAATATCTAAAGCCCTTGAGCCATTTGAAGATGCAGTAACCAAACACTAAAAACTAACAAAAAATGTCGAGATAATAAATATTAGCTTAGAAAAATGACTGTAGGGTAATACAATGAGTGTGAAATTATGTACAGATTTTTGGTTCCTAGCTCGAGTACCTCAGCACTCGGAGCAGTCAATAGGCGAACGCTGCTAAAATAAATCAGTGGTGAAGTGGTAGAACGACACGAGTCGATTTTTTTGAAAATTCAGTTTTTGCTGAATACCGAAAAATTCAAGGGAAAACGAACTTACGACCGATACCTTTCCTAGATGCTTATAAAGATTTCTCTATCCCCCTCAAGTTCGAAAATATCCAACGGAAACTGATCTGTCATAAAGTTCAATTGCTCAAGTCTTCAATTTTTACTGAATTTCAAAGTTGAGTTGATAAAATTATCAACTTTGTTCAACATCCGAGAATACAAAAGAAAGCCAACTTTTGGTGGATACCTTTTCTGCAGATCTCATTCTACTTTGACAAAACTCTTTACTAAAACCCCTCTATCTCTCCCAAGTTCAAAGAAATGCAACGAAAGGTAAATTCCAAAGTTAAATTGCTTTATTATTAATCGATTATTATCATTTTTCGCCACATTTGGTCATAACCTTTTTACAAATGACCGAATATGTTATTACGTTGTAACGTGTTTACATATGGCCGAATATGGCCCAAAATGATAATAATGAGTAATCCACTTGTTGATCAGCGGACAAAATTCCCAAATGAAAAGAAAACTGAAGACAATTTTTTCAGCGACGATTAAATATATTGTTGATATCTGATTTGCCGACAATTTATCCTTGGTACGTTATATCCGTCGAAAAATTATCCGATATGTCATGTGTTCACAATTTCAGGTGGTAAACAGTAACTGGTGAGAGTTCCCGATGACTCCCTCTCTTCTCGATTCGAATCAAATTCGCTACTTCACAATTTGCTATTTGTCTTATCACCGATAGCCGCGCGTTACCTCACACGAAACCGACGTCGGTGGCCGAGGGGGCTAGACGCAAGTCTAGTGTGCGAAAGGTTGTGAGTCCGGTTCCCAGTGGAACCGAATTTTTCAACGGAAGACTGTACCGGCATGGGTTTCCTGTGGTTTCCCAAGCCATTCCAATGTTCTATAGGAGTGCGAGTGCGGTACAGTGTAGAATTCACAGCCGCATCCATAGGATTGGACAGAGTGCCGAAATGAAACCTGAAAAAGGGGACTCAAAAGGCCGCAAAAAATCTCATACGAAATTTGCATTTACTTCAATATCCCCCAAGTTCGGAGAAATGCAACGAAAACTAACAGATTCTAAAGATCAATTGCTCCTCAGTTTTCGTCCATTATCTCGAATTCCCAGAACGATAGCGATACCTTTGTCAAGCCGTCTATCTACATTTCTTCTAGCTTCCCTTCCCCTCCGAATATCCTGAAGGTATCTCCACCTGCCTCAGGCCCAAAAATATTCACAACCAGCAACCCAGATTGCCTTGACTCGTTTCACCTACCACTTCCCTCCAAAACTATAATCAAGAAACCTCATCAGCACTGATTATACTGTTCCTTCTCCTTCTCCCTCCTGCTGTCCTTCCCCCCATTCTTCAGATTCATCAAAAACTCGGGATCATTCCAGAACTGGACGTCTCCACTGGCATAAACAACGAAGATAGCATTGGTAACAAGGAAAACCCCCAGAACAATCCAGAAGACGAGTCTCCACTGATCATTGGTGCTGTCCGGTGCGAGTTCCCCAACGATAATCGGAGTGATAATTCCAGTGAGTGCTCCAATCCCGTTGACCACGGCCATGAGACTCCCCGAATAATTGGGACATAGATCGAGAGCGTTCACCTTCATTCCAGGGTAGAAGGTCCCCATGAGGGCCATTCCTACCGTGAACATAGCAACAACCGTGTATTTATTGCAGCCAGCATAACTCGCCCCAACGATAAAGATTCCGGGTCCCACGGAGGCAATAGTCGTCCCCAATTTCCGAACATTAGTCCTCGAGACATGCCCCGCGGTTATCAACCAATCAGCCAACCACGAGCTGAAGATGCTGCAGAACCACATGCACAGGTACGGCAAGGACGACAGATACCCATTACTCTTGATGGAAAATCCGAGGACACTGCTCATGTACTTCGGTAGGTCAGTGACCATGGTGAAGAATCCCCAGTCGTGGCCAATCTGCGCCATGATCAGAGCGAACACCGGTAGAGATGTGAACATGTACCGCCAGGGAACCGGCGGCGGTTTCTGATGCGTGTGTTCACTCATGCGTTCGTGAAGGAACTTCTTCTCTGCTTCGGAGATGAAGGGATGTTCGCTTGGATTGTTGTAGCAGATCATGGTCCAGACGATGAACCAGAGGACGCCGATGGATCCGAATACGTAGAAGACCGCTGGCCAGCCCATTGAGGCGTAATGGAGAATCAGGCCGGAAAGGGTTGAGGTGAACACTGTTCCTAGTTGGGCGCCAGCGAACACCATTGACCCGATCTTTGAACGCTCCTCAGGGGGCGTCCACTGGGAGAGCATCGCGTTCAGCGCTGGGAAGGTCGTCCCCTCCCCCAAACCCATGAGAATCCTGAGGATTATAAGGGCTGTTGAGCCTCCCTGCTCCACCGCCAGAGGTGTGAACAGTGTGAACAGAGCGGTTGAGAGAATTCCAAGACCCAACGAGTACTTTCCCCCGAATCTCTCTGCCAACATTCCACCGGGGAGGTGCGTCAGGACGTACCCCCAGTAGAAGGATGACAGGATTATCCCCTGGGTGGACTCATCCCAGTCGTAAACTTGGTTCGTTGAGTTTACTTTGGTTGACTCGTCTTTCTGACGGTCTATTTGGCAGGTGTCGTCTATTTTCTGCGATGTATTTATTGGAACTGTCATTTCTGTTATCGTTATGGATAGACACACGCGCATTGTGTAAGCATTGAACAATGCTAGGAATCCCATCAGCGCGAATATCCATCGCTGTTGCACTCGGATGCCTGGAAAGGAAGGGGGGAGTGGTTTGTTAGTGATGGTTTTTGTTTCGTTGGAGAAATCAAATTGCGATTTAAGGCCCGCATGGATTATCTTTCGAACGTTGTCTCGATTATTTTCCGTCTTCGTAATATAAAATATAGCACAATTGCCACTGAATTTTACATCACGTAGGTGTCCCTAAAAAGTGTAATTGCACAATAAAAAAAAAAGCATTTTTGATAACGATTAGGAAATATGTCCGACAGAGAGGAAATCGTAAATGGATAATTTATTATGGCAACTAACGATCTGACAGGCATTGGCTACTGAGACAAATGACTGAACAACCATTAGATACTGTAAATTATTAATTTGTAATTTCCTCTCTATTGGGTCTATCTCCCGGTATTATTCAAAAAAGCTCTTTGAAAATGTTCAGTTTTTTAGCAACGGTTTTTTCAATGCACCACGCACAAAAAAATTTAATAGAAAAACCTATCGAATTCGTTAGAAAATTCTATTGAATTTCTATTGAACTTTCTATTAGTTTTTGGCTGATTCTATTGACATGTTCAATAGAAAACATTCAATAGAAAAAGTCAACAGAATTCGATTTTTTTATATAACTTAATCTTTTCATATATTTTCTATAGAATTTGCTCGACTCAAATTTTTTAATTTTTTTTCATTCTATTTTTCTTTTCTTCGTATCAAGAAAATCAAACGAAAAAATTTAGAAAATTTGAGTCGAGGAAATTCTATAGAAAATATCTCAATAGAATAAGTTAGATAGAAAAATTGAATTCTATTGACTTTTTCTCCTGAATATTTTCTATTGAACATTTCAATAGAATCGGCCAAAAACTAATAGAACTGTTCAATAGAAATTCAATAGAATTTTCTAACGAATTCGATAGGTTTTTCTATTAAATTTTTTCGTCCGTGATAATCATAATTTTTGAAGACTCGAGGGCTATGTAAAACTGAATGGCAATTGAAGCATATTTCAGATTATCGAAATAAAAAAAGCAACCAATATCACGCTCGAAACATAATACACGCGGACCTTAAGGCGGATCCCTAGAACACACGTTTTTCTTAAGATTGTCCACATATTTTTCATAAGTAATGCTTATAATAGTCGCCAACTATTGAAAAAAATTCTAACTAACTGAACTAAACGGTTTATGAGATAATAAGTAATGAAATGCGGGTATGCCCCCCCCCCCCTCGGCGAAGTCAATTTTTCCATCTTATGAGAAAACATAAGTTCTTACGATATTTTTCAAAAACTAATCAGTAATAGATTGATAAATTTCGAACACGGCGAATTTTATGTAAAATTTTGTACTACATGGTTTCTGCAATATTCACCCCTAAAAATAGGAATTTCATCGAAGCATTTTTTATTTGATTCAAACAGTTATTGTTGCCTGCATCAACAACATATGAGAATAGAAAAACTCAATAACTTATGAGAATACAATAAATTAAGTCATTTAGAATTCTTTCCAGAAACCCATCGGGACCAACTTTGGGTGTTATTGTCTTGGGATATACCTTAAGTAGTTCTAGGCTTGATTCGGGTATACAGTCTACTTGGTTCAACTTTATCGGTTTTAGATTGTTGTAACGACTTGTTTCAATTTTTTACCTGCGACATTTCAATCAACGACATTTTAACTACCGAGTTTTCAACTAACAATATTTCAATCAATAACATTGCAACTACGTTATTTCAACTATTGAAACTTTAATCCATATACAAAGAGTGATGTCCTTCACTCGTATTCAAAATTTATACCAAATTTTTTTCAACCGTCAACAATCAAACAGAATATTTATATGTTCACAAATTCGTGACGTTCATTGATGTGTGCATTAAGTCATAAATTGGAGCAATAATTTTTCTTCCTGTTCGACATTATTTATGTAATTAAGTCTCCAAACAATAACCGAAATATTGTAAAAAAAATTTACTCAATTGAAAATTAAATTGAAAAATTCAAATTAAATTATTGACATAAAATTGTTATTAAATTATTGATTTTTTACAATTGTTCAATGAAAGCAAAAATCGTCTTTATGTCACATCAATTACGGATGCGCCAGGTTAGTTGTTAAATTGCATGGAATACGATGTCCACTAAAAAGTAAACAAACAAAATAAAATAAAAATTGAAAATTTTTTGCAGATTACTGAAAACGCAATAATTTAAATGAAATCAATTGATATCTCGTAGTTGAAACGTGGCCTGGGTGAATAGACGTGCTAATCTAATTGAATGAACTAGAGTGCGGCTTGAATCAAGTCAAACAATCTACTTGAATGAAATAGAGTGCGACTTGATTCAATTCACGGAATCTACTTGATTGAAGTAGAGTGCGACTGGGATCAATTCCCAGAATCTAATTAAATAAATGAAGTAGAGTACAACTTCAATTAAGTCAAAGAATCTACTTGAATGAAGCACAGTACAACTTGAATCAAGTCTCAGATTCTACTCGAATGAAGTAGAGTGCGACTGGAATCAATTCACAGAAGATAATGGTATGACGCAGAATGAAACTTGAATCAATTCAAAGAATTGAATGAAGTAGTGTGCGACTTGAATCAAATCTTAGAATCTACTTGAATGAAATAGTGTACGACTTGAATCAATTTACAGAATCGAATTGCATGAAGTAGAGTGCAACTTGAATCAAGTCAAAGAATCATATCAAGAAATCATATTGCAGAATCTACTGCGACTTGAATCAAATCTTAGAATCTACTTGAATGAAATAGTGTACGACTTGAATCAATTTACAGAATTGAATTGCATGAAGTAGAGTGCAACTTGAATCAAGTAAAAGAATCATATCAAGGAATCATATTGCAGAATCTACTCGAGTCAAGTCGCTACTCCAGTCAGCACTCTTTAATAAAACTCCATTCTACCCCTTCATATCGGCATGAAATAATTCGATTCTCAGTATACTCCAGTCCTCCTCGACTTGGGTCATAAAGTTTTGTTATGCACGAGGAAAATTTCAACGTCTTAATTTACTTACAACAACCGCGCCACATTGACAACATGTTAACAAATATTTTATCCTTATTTGTTTAACGCTAAATTCGTCCGGAACTATTGGGCAATCGCGGACACTGCAACTTCAATGTTTCAGTTATCATTCACGAGAGATAACTTCGGTGACAAGAGTGAGAGTGAAGTACACGATGAGTTTGGAATGATTGAAGAATAATTATTATTCCTTCAATTAGCAGTCGTCGAGTGGCCGTCACTGATGAGACTCGAAACGGCACTGAGGGTTTACCACAAATAATTATTCCTTTTATACGGGAGGAAACTGATGTGTAACGGACGCTGGCCCCCCTTTGATATCCTACTCTTACCTCCAAACACGGAGATAAGGAACTGACGCTCTTTCAGCTTCGATTACCTGTACGTATATTAAAAAGATAACTGGGGAAAAGCCTGCCAACCGGTATCACCTTACCCCTACCCGACTACCAGTGACGGTGGACTGACGGAGACAATAAACGAGGGAATTTGTCGACATTCATAATTTATCGGTACTGGCTTGGTTGTATTGCTAGCTGATCAATTATTTAGTACGTCGAACGGTGACGGCCAAATTACTGTTTATTTCAACGAAATGAGTGGTTGTTATTACGTGTAATCACAACTTTTTGAGTGTTTAAGAATGTTGAGAAACGAAGTCGAGGATCTTTAGTGGTGGATGTAAATTACGGAGAAAAAAATACAGGAAAAAAACACGGTATAATGAGTTAATTTCCGGTATGCCTGTATTTTGCAGCCAAATTTTCGAGGCCGGCACCAGAATTTTTTTCGACTCTGTTGAAATGAACCCATTTTACCACGCTCCCCGGTAATTTTTCCTGTGTTTTGCTTCTGAATGGAATCACGTAAATTTTAGTTTCCAATTGCTTCCGAATGGAAGCTTTGTGATGGTCAAAATTTAAGTTTTGGATTTTTGTGTTATAAGATCACGTAGTGGCGCTTTGGTTTCGGTCTTACACTTATGCTTATTCGAGATTTTTGAGATATATCGAGATCGATTTTCTTTCTTTTTACCATTCAGAACGTCCGAAACTGCTATTTTTAGACCTCGCCCGTACGTGTGTGTCTGTGTCTACGTATGTAACAAAGTTTTTCTTCAATTGTTCGATAATAAACGGATGAAATTGAATCTTTTTTTCAAATGTAGGTATTGTTGAGTCCTATCGATCCCCATTAATTGGAATTTAATTCATATATTATTTTTTTTAATTTTTGAATTTTCTCGAAAATCGGTCGTCCTACGATAACTGAAAAAAATGTTCCGAATTGATTCAATGATGACTTGAAAAATTTGTTTGGATGTCCTTTTGACCGTGTTCGAAGATGAAAGCGATAGCAATAATCGTTATTTAATTTATTCAAAAATTTTCAAAAATTTTGTGTTTTTTGAAAATCAGAATTCCGGGGATATCGTTGAATATCATGCTTCAAACGAATTCAATCATGGCTTAAAATGTTTGTTTTAATGGCATTAAGTCGAAGTTAAAAGATGATTACGTTAGCTCTGTTGGTTGATTTGATTTTTATGATGATTTTTCAAAATTTTGAATTATTCATGAATTTCCTTGAAAGTGAGCTTTCTGATGGCTTCTTCAAATGTGATGTTTCAAATTCATTCAAGTATGTGTAAATAAATTTTTTCTGCTAACATTTTATCGAAAGAATGAGGGGAGAGATAGAACTGTAAAAAATACAATCGGTTGTATAGAAGAAAAGGGATAATAAGAATAATGATACTGATAACATTCAAATAAGTTGAAATTCTGACGAAATTAGGTAAAAGGAAATCTTATTTAATTCAATAAAATGATATAAACTATGAATTATACATGATAGAAGGAAATTATGTGCGAAATAACCATTCGGAAGCCCACTGTTAGAAAAAAAATGAACTTTTATGGACAATTGACTACTAATTTTCAGGACAGCGACACTACAGGCGATTTAAGGAGAAAAAAATCATGAAATTTTAGGTTTCAATGAAAATTCAGTTCAATTCCAGAGTTTTGAACAGCATAAAGACGAGAATTCCTTAATTTATTTGAATTTCCAATCTAATGTGAATATTCAGTGTCAAATTGCATGTAATTTTCAGTGAAATCTGAAATTTCATGATGTTTTCACATTAAATCGCATTTAGTGTCACTGTCCTGAAAATTCCAAAATATATTTACCGCAATTTTCTGGTTTTCTATTTATTTTCAGAGAAAAATGGAACTAAAATTCAGTTCTCCTTGATTTTTCCACAAAATTGTGAAGTTTTAATGACAAAATTAAATTGTAAAGTTTTAATCTTCGAAATTGTGAAGTTTTAATGACAAAATAAATTCTATAAAAATTTTCAAAAAGTGTATCGGAAGATTCAGACCAAAATGTTTAATAGTGCGTGTTGCTAATTTATTAGCAAAAATAATTATACTATATACAATACAAGAGCAATTTCCCACTTGTTTTTCGAAAAATTTTTATAAGGGATCAATCGAATTTCATGAATTTCTTCATGAATATTGACATTAATAACAATGACACAAATAAAAATTCAATTTCTCATACAGATTCGAATATGATGGGGATCGCACTATTCGTTGTTAAGTTACAGCGCATTGTTTATGCGATTTGTACGAGAAAATCGGTGTTTTCATGATTACTGATAGAATTCTCAGTAATAGCAAGCAAATCAGGGCTTGGAAATATTTCAATGCCTTCGTAATCACGTTGAAAAATTGTGAAAACAGCATAATAACAGCTGAATTTCCATTTCTATGCTAAAGGAATAAGTAACAGCTTTTATGTTCAATTACTATATTACTATCAAATACTGTACATGTAGAATGAGGTAAAAGAACGAATTGGAAGAATTCCGTCCGTCAAGGCAGTAATATTGCCCGGAAAATCTATCAATTCCTCCTCGATTTCCATTGAAATTGCCTCAAGATTTTACGCATTTTCCTCAATAGAAAAGTATTGAATGCAAACTGCATCTGAATTCCTCTACGAAACTTTTCCGTTAAGGTTTCCTTTCCGTAAATAGTTCTAGACGTCAATTTTCACAATATCTGACTCTGTTTTTTTCATCTTTCATCAAAGAGTAGAACAAAAAAAGTCGTGATTATGTTTTCCCGATTATTTTTACCCGACAGTTTTATTTCAGATATTTCCTCCTAGCTTTTGAATATTTCGCAGTAGCTCTTCATTTTTTCGACTCATTTCAGATCGAATCTTGTATTTGACAGTCTGCGGAAATTAGAGTAGATCGCCCGGAGATAATGTGGAATATGAACATGCGAATCGAATTAATTTCTTTTATTCGGATTCAATTTCATTCTTCTAAAAATTGTTACTCAGCAGTCCATGAAATTCCAATTTCTCCATAACAGTCCCGAGTGGAAATTCAAATCAGGATAGAATAAGAGACTGACCAGTGAAAACTAACTTTGATCAGTTTTGGATCAGAAATGTAACGCTTGTTTGGATCCATGCCTGGTTAAAATTCTAGAATCCGATCATTCTCTACAGTACCGGATCCGATACGGACCTAGTCGAGATTTAACTGATCAGAATAGGATCAAAATTCACTTCGCCGCATTGGATTCAGATACTCCATTCAGGATCTCATCGGATTGTGATCCGAAAGTCTAATCAATAAATTCTATCCAGTATTGGACCTAAAACTGATCTAGATTCAAGCTGAGTGAAATTTCTACTCGGGATGTAGATCTACAGGAAAGTTTCTCATAAGAATTTCGCTACTTTCCCTAGATTCTGGACTTCTCGAATCCCCAATTGAAAGCTAACTCAAGCCGTGTTACCTCTTCGGTACTGAATACTCAATGTTGATTAATATTCAGTAGTTCAAACAGGCGCTGCTAGGTTCCTTTTAACAAGAATCATCAGTTGTTTGAACGTGTAATTACCATGTTTTGAATATCGCAAATATTGCAAGAGGAAAAACGAACGAATCATAAGAATTCCGTTCCTTAATGTCAACATGAGGAATTCAGTGAAACTGTCAGTCGTTTGCATGCGTCACTGTTTACGCTATTCGGTGTCTTTATAACACTGAAAAACGAATTTGAAAAATTTCATAAGTGAACACACGCACAAAAAAATTTAATAGAAAAACCTATCGAATTCGTTAGAAAATTCTATTGAATTTCTATAAGTTTTTGGCTTTCTATTACACCTTCTATTAGTTTTTGGCTGATTCTATTGATATATTCAATAGAAAACATTCAATAGAAAAAGTCAACAGAATTCGATTTTTCTATATAACTTATTCTTTTCATATATTTTCTATAGAATTTGCTCGACTCACATTTTCTAAGTTTTTTTCATTCTATTTTTCTTCTTTTTTCATCAAGAAAATCAAATGAAAAAACTTAGAAAATTTGAGCAGAGGAAATTCTATAGAAAATATCTCAATAGAATAAATTATATAAAAAAATTGAATTCTATTGACTTTTTCTGCTGAATATTTTTTATTGAACATTTCAATTGAATCGGCCAAAAACTAATAGAACAATTCAATAGAAATTCAATATAATTTTCTAGCGGATTCGATGGGTTTTTCTATTAAATTTTTTCGTCCGTACAGCCGCTCGTGAAATTAAGTATAAACATTGATCCGTAATTAGTTCTTCAAACCGATTAAGGAAATAACAATTTGAGACACAGAATTCTGTGATTTCGATAAATCATGAAAAAGTTATAGGCAATTGAGAGTTTCTGCATTAAGACGTCGTAATCAGACATTTTTTCAGTTGGCAGTAACTCTTAGATTTTTCGAAATGAAAAATGTATCGAATATTTTACATTCAATTTCATATTTCATCATTTCATTCATTGAAAAAAATCTTGGACCAACTCAATTACATGTTTTGAATATTGTAAAATTGAAATCAGGAGCGAAGCAGTAAACCGGGTTAAGTCGATTTTAACTGTTGGCCAGTTTTTGACCAATATCTCGGAATCTAAAAGAGATACAAAAAATTTTGTCATAACCTTTTTTGTAGAGCCAACTAAGGGTTACAAAAAAGGTCATGAGCAAAATTTTGCTATCTCTCTTAAATTCCGAGATATTCATCAAAAAATGGCCAAAAGTAAAAATTGACTTGACCCGGTTTACCGCTTCGCTACTGAAATATTACTCTACACTAGAATTTGAGAAACTTCATAAGCGAATAGTGCGGCAGTGTCCGTCGGAAAATCTCAAGAAATCAAATGTAAACATTACATAATAATAATCCGATAATTTTTTTTATTCTATTCATCCTGTCAAAAGACAAAGATAGAAATCGAATTATGGATATTCGTTCATTATTCGAAAAA